TATGGTAGTCAAGTATGGCTTGCTAGGCAACCCCCTATTTCCGTCAATATGTTGTTCCTTTCAACCCTCCATTTATGGTTGAGTGCAGGGATTTCCCAGCTAGCCACGTTTGATTGACAAAGGGTAACCCAAAGTAAATGTTGAACATTAAATTCTATGCAATATATACATATGAATATTAAATAAATATGTGTATATATATATGTGTGTGCATAATATATAAAAGTACAATATAATATAATATAAGATACGATAATATAATTTAATTATACTATACAATATTGTTTATAGAATATATATATATAATATTATATGATATTTTAAGATAATTTAAAATAATATAATACATACATATATATATATAGTCCCTCACCACCTTATGCTAAATACCACCCAAACGAAACGGGTGTCTACAGGGTTTATTTAATTCAAGGGTGGGATTTCCGTCTATGGAGGATTTGACAAGTTGTCCCAGTATTGTCGCAGTATGTCAGTATGTCCCCTTAAAATGCTTAAAATTACCAGGTAATGGGATACCATACTTATGGGATTATTGGGGAAATCGTCTATAAATGGTACCCTCTGGCAACTAATATAGCTATGAAACAACAGCCACATAGTTTCAATGATTTACGTATTCAAAATGGTACTGTCATGTTTGTTCCATAGTTATGTCAGTTTACTGGAGGGTATATGTTATTATATTCCATTATACCATTATTTTTGTTGGTTAGCTCATGTGAACTCCCCATTTTTGTTTGTAAAAATCCTTTATAAATGGTCATAATAAATCTAGAAACACCACCCCTACTGGGCAGATCCTACGCCTTCGGCTTTGAGGCCCAAGCTCAGTTGGTCCCCGGGTCGTACACTCTCCGGTGGCCCCGACATCGGACAGCACAGTGATGAGGCACAGTGCAGCTGCTTGAGGTGGTGGAAGGTGGGGGGTTCCATCAATGCAGGTACCCCAATAGCTGCATGATTTCTAATTTATAATTAATAGAAAATCCTAAAGTAAACTGGATGATTTAGGGATACCTCCATTTTAGGAAACCTCTATCAATGGATTGGTTTCAGGGTCAGTTGCTAAGCTTCTATCCCACAATTGCATACAATTGCCACATGTATATAATGTACTGTACCTATGCAAGTTTAGAATGGATATTCGTACAGCATGGCCAAATTTCCCTTTGGTGTCATCAGCCCCATGGAAATGCAACATTTACAATAGATCTATTTACTTCCATGCCGTTCCCAAGTATACACCTCCATAGCTATTTGTGAAGACACCGGAGGGTACCTCATTCCTTCCTTCAGATCCTGCGCGAGAAGTTGGGGCTCAGTGATGAACAGCTGACCGCCTTGCGCTCACAGGGGGTCGTTGCCTAGTGGCCTGGTGGCCATGGATGGTACAAGGTGTACCCTCCAGTAGCTGTGGAACATCACCATGGTAAATCATTGAATCACAAAAATGGCTTTTCTCTATAGCTATGTTTGCTGGGACAATCTGTTTGGGAAATTATGGGATGGTATGTGAAAGAATCTTTGCGAAATTATGGAGTTGCAAGAAGACCATGTACGATTTGGGTGTATGACTACATCCAATTGGGTATGCCTCAATAACGCGTGCCATGGGCTCCCATTGCCAGGTTAGAGGGTAGTCGGTTGAGTTTTGTTGTTCCCGCGGTAAACTAAAATAGACGCGAAACAAAAGCAATGGTTTCTCGAGGAAAATGATGCACAAACGGTGGGTTTTCCACATCTATCTTAGCTTAGAGGAGGGTATTATGTTCCTTAGATCCTTAGTGTATATTCCTAACTGTTCAGCAGCAACAGTTGCATCACTGGACCCTGCCACCATGTGCCACCAGTGCTTATCAATTTTCGCGCGAAGCTTTGAAAAAAAGGTGGGAGCACATTTGAGCCGTTGGCATTGATACTTCCACTGGGCTGTGAGGTTACCCAGTTGCGGGCGAGGCTCCAGGTAAAGGTATATATCGCAATCAGTCATCCTGCACGATGGGCTTAAGATCCTTTGGCAGTTCAATTCAAGTCTCATCAAGCGACTACTCATTTCATTTCAATTTCTATATTCTCTCTTGTTCAACTCCTTCTCAGACAAGCTATCGATGTTTCTGGCAAAAGTTGCCAGCCAAAGAGTCACGACATTACATTTGCTACCCTCAAAATTTCACAACACCGGCAGATATGGGTGACTATTCACCCATACCAAACTATCTTTGGACCGACCTCCATTGGCGGTTATGCATGTATAGTGTAGTGAAAAGCCAGCGTAGCAGCGCAGGGACCCACGGCTAGAACATATTAGAACATATCATCATACACATATCTTTTTAAATCAAATCTCATCTCATCTCATCTAATCTATCAACCTATCCGACAACTGAGTTGGTATCAGCATACAGTATAACCCATGTACAGCATTGCAAGGATTGCCGCGACAGCCTCAACCTCTGAAGCTTTTGCTGCTCAAGGGCCCCGAAATCAGGGCCTGGTGCGGCGGTCCGATGTGCCATGCCAGGAATCTCTGAGTCACTGAGATGAAGATGGAGGGAACAGTGGGGGGCTGTAAGCACCCCGGGAAAAAGTTGGAACAGGTTAGAGGGTTAATTTACCCTTGCTTTGGTAGCTTTAGGATTAGATTTGAATTCCCCCTCATCTGTTTTGGGATTGTGATACCCGGAAAATGCAATTTCGTAGGAAAGGATTCTGTTGGTGCCTGGGCCTCAGAATGAAGAGTGATGGGATTATCCAAAATCTAGGGATGCAAGCTTTAGACCAGTTATACCTTCCAACTTCAAACCCCTCATTAATTGCATAACGAATATGCAGCTAGATATGTATATATGCACATGTGCAATATATACATGTTTGCTCACATTATATATAGGTACGTTTACATTCAATGCATATGCATGTATATATATACATACACGATAAGTGGTGTATATATATATATATACATACACTTAAAAGTAGAAAAATACCACACACCACATACATACATACATACATACATACATACATACATACATACATACATACATACATACATACATACAATACAATAATCAATACAATACAATACAATACAATACAATACATTACATTACATTACATTACTTACATGCATGCATACATGCATACATGCATCCATGCACCCATGCTTCCATGCATCCATGCATACACCCATACATCCATACATCCATACATCCATGCATCCATGCATCTATGTATCCATCCATCCATCCATGCATCCATGCATCCATGCATCCATGCATACATCCATACATCCATACATCCATGCATCCATGCATCCTTGCATCCATGCATCCATGCATCCATGCATGCATGCATCCATGCATGCATCCATGCATCCATGCATCCATCCATGCATCCATCCATGCATCAATCCATGCATCCATCCATGCATCCATCCATGCATCCATCCATGCATCCATACATCCATACATCCATACATCCATCCATGCATCCATCCATGCATCCATCCATGCATCCATCCATGCATCCATCCATGCATCCATCCATACACACCTACATACATACCTACATACATACCTACATACCTACATACCTACATACCTACATACCTACATACATACATACATACATACATACATACATACATACTTAGATACATCCATCCATGCATCCATCCATACATCCATACCTACATACATACATACATGCATACATACATACATACTTACATACATCCACCCATGCATCCTTCCATACATCCATCCATACATACATACAAACATACATACATGCATTTGTGCGTGTGCAAATCTTATACATATCTTATGTATACAGTTAAAAGCACATTGCATATATTTACTACAGATATACACACGAACATACATTCCGCCACTGTTGGTCCAGTCAACCCCCCCATTTATAAATTTGTGCACTTGTGAAATCTGCAGCTATCTGCCAACAAAGCCGATATTTGACGGAAGAACACCATGGTTTGCTGTAAAGAAACCTCGGAAATTCATTGATCCAAAGCTTCCCATGGTTCCAGGTCCCCCAAATCTTCGGACCTCGCGCAGGCTATGACCCACTTCGGAGGCATCAAGTCGGCCTCCCTGTCCCATGCTGAACAAATCTTGGCAGGTGCGGGGAACGGGGGAACCAGTAAGAACCAGGCAACAAAAAGATAAAACTGTTTAGAAAGGAACAAAATTGCTTTGGAGTGTTTTTTCTCCGAAATCTGATGAATGGAGATTGACTGAAAAGGAACCCAATGGGGAGTGATGTTCACTGGCAAACCTAGATGCAAGATATAGTGTGAGGCTTGCCACTAGTTGGTGACTCACCAACGTATGATGCACTGCTCGTTGCAATGTCTAGGACAGCCAATGGAAATCCACGAATTATATATCAGTGAGCCACAATGTCCATTCTTGCGGGGTGATGTGTATGCTTGTGTGCACACATATGTACAATATATATATAATGGGACAGCCGCTCCAGTACCCCTCCACTACCTCCCGAAGTGTAGTTATACCGCTGGTTGGCGTAAGATATGTTTGAATATGTTAGGTATCATTAGATGTACATAGGTCTACTATATGTATTATGCTTATTTAAAGAAGGAACATGGAAAAACATGGTTGAAGAACTATTATCTGTCCGTTTGTCCATCCATCCTTCCTTCCATGCAAATCTATCCCCTGTATCCAGTTGATCCCTTGGATGCCGTACACCAGGCATCCATGAGCACGGATCCTGGGCTCTGGTTCACGCCTCCCAGGCGAACCTGTAATGCCGGTGGGATACCAACTTGATTCACTGGGGATGATCGGTTTTTTTTTGCGCGGATTCATGTTGATTTGATGGGAATCTATGATGAATTACGATATTTCTAGCAATTTTACAGGGATATCATGTGGATATTCTTCGAAAATTGGCTTATTACTGTACACATTAATAATCCATAAAAATACACGTGGATTGTACATATTATTAATGTGTAATGTTCTAGGCATCCCTGATGATCCTGCACCTGATGATTCTGCAGCGAGGAGCTGCGCCGAAACGCGGAGTTTTTTCTGCAGGCTGCAGCGAGGCTGCAGGAGGTTTTTGGAAATACCTTGGAAGCTGGGTGAGTAATGAGCATATGATGGGAAAATCATCTATAAATGGGGATGTGCTAGATTTCAATGGTGACTTCTCCTCCGGTAATCAAGCGTGGCTAGCTGGAAAATCTCCGAACTAAATGGAGGTTTCTAGCTGGGAACATCATTCATAAACTGTATATTCTCCATTGACACGTTTGAGTGCCAGGGGGCATCCCTCCAGTAAACTAATATAGACCCTGAAGAACAAAGATGTTTTAGTGGAAGTAATCTTCCAACCATTTGAGGGTCAAATTGCCACTCCCGCGGGTTCGCATCACAGTTGGAAGTTGGTATGGTAAAAATAATACGAATATATAGTCAAATCATACACTAGTATGGCTACAGTGTAGTCTTACCCACTTAGTACCTGGGATGCGTATCCATGTCGGAATGGTTGCTAGTGGTAATAATATTTGATCTCTCAATGGATTGATTTCAAAGAACATGTGTGCCGTTTAATATCTATCTTATATAATATATATATATATATGTATACATCCATCATCATCCATCATCATACCTTTTTGCGGCTATTGATGTCTACGATTACACGCCCACATGCATATGATCGAATGCACATGCACTTGCACATGCATGGTAAAACTTATCAAAAATTACAATCCAACATTTGGTTTATAAGATTACATAAGATAGTATATTTATCAATAGCCACGCCAAAATAGTTTTGCAATTTGCTTTTTGTTTGTGTGTAATCAATGCGATTTCATTTGTTGTCGTGGATTTCACGGCTCCCATTACATTCACCCAAGTGTATTTTTTTTCATTTGGGAGAACCCTCAAAGGTAGAACATGACAACATATCATTCTAAACCTTGCTTTCCGCAGAACAAAAAAGGTTCTAGGCACAGCTATTTAGGTCTTACATATATATATATATATGCATGTGTAATTTCGTGTATATAATCTATACATATGTTCTTTCGCGTTTCATGTATATATATATATATATACATAAATGTAATACTATATAATTAAATAAATAAATATATATATATATATATACACATTGTATGTAGACATGAGTGTAGCTGATGGTATCAACAATCTTTGTCCGGACGTGCGGGTGGTTGCTGAGGTTGCCACAGATGGCGGCTGCTTGATGCGACTTGGCCAATTTGTGCCGTTGCGAGTCCCATTTCACAGGCCGACACGGAGGCCAAGACGATTATAGACTCCCAAAATCGCAAGCCTTTAGAATCTTTAGATGAGACATACATGGGACAATCATCTAAAAATGGGGATGTAATAGATTTTAATGGTGCTTAATATGGTTCAATGCGGATAATAAGGGGCTGTTACTGGGATATGAACGGGATATACCCTTTGGAGTCAAACGTGGCTAGCTGGAAATGCCGGCACTAAATAGAGGTTTCTAGCTTGGACAATCATCAAACTACATGTATCTAAATGTTGAGTTCGCTTTCATGTTAACATAATCATTGACAATGCCTCAGTGATCCGCTTGCTTTCGCATTTTGGCACCATGTCATTTCTCAAAATCGGTGAGGAGAAAACTTAGTGTCAGATGGCATATATGTGGATATTGGCATTGTTTGTGCTAAAAGGGTTTCAGGCTATGTGTTTCTTTTGAACGTGTGGTGCCCCAAAAAAATCCACGAAGATGAACGCCCGAAGGTATGCTGCAGATGAGCTTTGCGCAGATGAGAAGGCCGAGAAAAAACGTGATAAATGAAATATACCAACAATGTTTGGGCCAACAGCTCGCCCTCAGCCTTAGCTGAACCTTCGGGATGGCGATGGAGAGAGAGATATACCAACAATGGAGATATGGACAAGCAAGCACCATGATGGGGACATGACTGATATGTCCTGCTTCTGCATCGGCAAACCCAGATGGTAGTATACCCTTCACTAAAGAGAACCAGCTATGGACAATTGCCCATTGATAGATAATTTAACCTATTGGAAACGGTGATTGCCATAGCCATGTTCGTTTACCAGTTTGAGTGTTTCTATCATGGCTTTATGATGCTTTATGCTTGTTGACCATGCCAATGCCAGTTGAAAAAGCCCGCAGGTCGTGCTGGCTGCTGCTTGGTACCAAGGGCTATGATGACATGTTTTAAGGAACGTTGTGACTCAATAGTCATATTCTGATAGACATAGGATGGAAAGGTTTCTCCGTTTCTCCCCTTTATTACGTTAGATGTGCGAAAGCGATCGCAAGTGTGAACACTGGATGGGAACACAGCCTGTTTTGCAGCGTCCAGGTCTTTGTTTCTACTTTGATTTGCCCAGTTTGATACTACCCAAATGGTTTATGATTTTGTTATAATGGGGGCCGGCTTATGGCATTGAATTGTTGAATTGGGCTGACCACATCACTACTTTAATATCCATTACAATGGCTGGTTTTCATGCTGGTTCGGAGCTCATGGATTATGCAATGATAATTCATGATAATTCCCAATACGTAGTGACGTAGTCCAATCCTTGAACAAATCATGACATGAACCAACATGAACCAAGATTAACTCATGAATTGTCCTATTCTGGGTGAGGATTTCCCAAAGACGCAGATTTCTTAGGGTCATCCCCTCAGGGATCATACCTAGACTCTCCGACGTAGGGCTCTTTTAAAGCATGATTTAAATACTTTGACCTATTTATAGGTAATTGGAAGGTCCAGGATGATATGGGTATTTGTTTTTTTTATAATTTCCATATATTCCTATTTATTCATTTACAGTTATAACTGCATATAAATATATATATATATATACATGTAATAAACCATCATCAGTGTGGGATGGATGACCCTCCCCGTCAACCCTCCCCTGTTGGACCCCCCAGGCCGTGACCCAAGACGGACATGCCTTACGCTATGCCTCGCCCCAGTTGCGCGCGGATCCACACTTCGCGCCCCCGAGCGCGAATGGTCAAAACGTGGGTCACGTTTCCAATGAAAAGGGATTTTCATGCTTCCCCAGAAATTCCAGACTTCTATACTCACTGTGTATTCCCAACACGGGATGGATGACCATAACCTGCCATAAACCACATACTTGCCATGTACCATGTTTTGACCAGGACAGCTATTGGGTTTTCACGTACTTACCAGCTGGTGATTGAATGTAGTGGAACATCATCAGTTTTAAATGGGTAAACCATTATGCTATATATATATATGTGTGTGTTCATTATCTATCAATATCATATCCATCTATGTGGTTTTATGGTTCTCACAGTATGCATTTTATGATGTTTTATGCCTTTGGTATTCGCACTATCATTGTGATTATTATGTTTTGTTTCTACGTTTTGACTATGTTTAAATACATTTGATGTGGTTTATTCCGGTTTTTGCAAAGGGCAGCTGGTGATTTGCGTTGGTGGTTTGGCTTCCAGGATTCCAAACCACCAACCCAAGCGGCCAGCGATGGGAAGTTAACATGGAACCCCGGGATGGTTACGTCCAAGTCTGGAAAAAAATCCATGAGGCTTCCATAAAGCAACGTGCGCATTTGTTCCCCGCCCTGCTTGAGCATCTTTAGCGGGCTCACAGGGTCCAAGCAATGAAAGAGACCAAGCTTAGGGGGTGTCTCCTATAGGTCTTGTTGTGTCACTACAGCAAGTATCAGATTTTACTATCAAAAACTGGCAGCTAAAAATTATCAAAGTTGGATTTTACCAGCAGACATGCGCGATAACTGTGGAGATCATGTGATCATCCGACATCATCCGAGTACGTCTATGTGCAAGTTTCATCGATGTTCAGTTTGGACCTCGTCTATGAAACAATTATTATTTTTATTAGATACGGAAAAGATGGTCCAATTATGGATAAGTCGGCCAAGTATGGCACATGTCATGATGATCCTCCAGGCATTTTGCATTGGGGAAGCTGTAGTGATAAACACCTTTTTCGGAAGATTTCAGATCCTTACCTTCCAACAGTTGACATTAAATGACGATTTTCCAAATGGATTTCTCCAACAAAAAATTGTGTCGATTTTGCAAGTTCTTCATACTTGTTCTAGAGGTTTCACTGCATTTCACCATGTTGTGACCATTTTTCAATGGGCCCAGGTTGGAGTGCGTGAAGTGCAGTAGTGAGGCCATGCTGTACATTGCCTCAGAGCTACGAGCCCTGGCGCCGCAGGCTATGTCTGAAAGGTTACGAGTACCTCTAGACCCGCTGGTTAATCTATATATAAATAATTCAAGGGGAATCGTCATTAATGGTGATCCAATTATTATCATTTATCCATTTGATTGTTCATCTATTTAGTAGGGATCCTGTTCTTATGCCTATGGAATGGCAATCATTGAAGTACTGAGGTATACCCTATTTTTTGACAAGCCCATTATAAAGCCGTGTGTTTGGATGCATTGGAATGACTTCAATGTGATGTCGTTGGAAAGATGGTTAGCAAGCACTTTCATGCCTAATTGGCCTTCTTTTATATACTTTCAGGATCTTTCAGGTTAGTGAAGCATTGTTGCAATTCAGTCAGATGTATGGCTGGCTTCCACCATGGTTAGCACTTAGCCACTTACAAATGAGTTGTACCCTCTGGGAATCTAGCATGTTGCTATGGTATAGATGGCCCATTTAAATTGATGGTGCTCGGATACTTCCATGTTGGATGATCGACGTTGAATCCTCAATATCCATGTTGTAAATTGAGCTGCTGTTTGTTTGTTATTACTTGAAAATTAACTTATAACCTAGCCATAGAAAATGAACATGTTTGATAACTAAATCATCGAACTCAATGGGACGTGGAACGTTTTTCATTGCTATGTTAAATCTTAAGTAAATTAATATGGTCTATGTTCCATGTTTATGTTGAATCTTACGTAAATGGGAAAAGGGACACGGAACATTGTTTTTTTGTTTTTCGAAAGTAATTTTCCGGCCCCCTATTTGGCTGGATCTATGTCACTTGGGGATGGTATGTTGGCATTTTCGACTCGCAGGCACAGACACACACACACACTCACGCACGCATATCCATCCATCCATGTATCCATATATATATATATACATATTCATAAACCTATATATGCATGAATATACATGTATATATACATACATACATACATACATACATACATACATACATGTATGTGTATTTATTTATATATATATATATACACATTTGCACACACATATAATAATGTGTTTATATATATAGAGATATGTATACACATACATTTTCATATCTGTGTATGTATATATATATTTAGATATGCATATACATTTATATTTATACATTCGTGTCGCAAAGCTTTGCACTTTAATATATGGACGGGTTCCCTACAGTAAGGCCAGCCTTGCTCATCATCCCCAAAGTGTCAAATGAATGTAGCATGTCAGCAGCCTGGTAGTACACTGTTGTTGCTTCACTGTCACCCCAAAAAAAGGGGCTGTTCTGTAAACATATTCTTTTCACGGGTGTTTTCTTGTTTTTTTTTTGGGATTCCAGTGGACCGGGCTGCGGGTTTTCCCCCATCGACTAAGGGCAGGATCCGCACTTCACACTGCAAGCGGCGCTGAACGGATGTTCCACTGACTTGGTCAACCCACGTCTGCGGATTTGGCTGGACACCGGTGATTCTGGGAACAGCTGCACCTCAAAACTTTTGCAGAAGCCAGCGGAATTTCGGGTGAAGAGATGCATGTTGGGCAGATTCTGTCTTAAGATTTAAGTTTCTGTGGTGTATGTCACCAGTCTGAACTTCTTTCTGAAATGGACAATCATGTCATTCGGTACCGAAAAGAACTGGTGAGTTTCTAATTAATGTCTGCTTGTGTTTCACTCACTGGCTATTGACCCACATGGTACCCGAAGAAAAGGACAGTTGTGGGCTGGGGCCGCGGCAGACCATTACCCTGCCCGGATGTTCATGTTTCCAATTGTAGATGATGCACGCAGAACCTGGGTAAGAAAAGGAACAGTGTTTGGAACGGCTTTGTGGGTGAGCTTCCCATTAAAACCCTGGTTTGGTAGATTGTAATGGGATGTAATGGGCAGGTTCTCGTTTCAAAACATAGCATGCATCCCGCTTGGCCAGGTGCTCAAAAATCAAGGTGAAAAGTTCTTAGTGAATACTTTTGTTCTTTGCGCAGTATATATATATAAATCAAAATTGCAATGTAACTAAATTGCCAATTGTCTCAGCTTAGATCCTTTCCACTGCAAATCCCTCCGCAGGAGCGAAGAGATGAGTTGCTGAATTTGATGCGGGAGACCATCGACAAACAAGACCTTTTGGGCATCCGAGAGGCCGGCGGGCCACTGTGCCAGAGGATGTGCACCTAAACGGAAGATGTTTGTTCGCATTTGGAGGCCATATGGTTACATACACACACACACATATATATATACGTATGTATATATATATGTACATATACTTGTAACTAGTTTGATATATCTACCGCGTCATGAACATCCATAAACCATCGTCAACTTAGTTCAAAGCCAACTGCTCGAACTATGGGGTGCCCTATAGGATTGCGGGAAAGACTTGATGGAGTTTCAAGGTTGAAAGGAACCAGGAGAGCAAAGACAGCTAGGTTTATAATGGTTGCAGTAGCCCGCTTTACAAACCAACATGGCTGTGGAGCCTTTCCTCTTGAAAATTGGATCTTCCGGCCATGTTACTTTTAGTTTAGGAGAGAGTCTGGGTCAATGGTTTTGCCATATTAATCCATGTTTGTTCCCCTAGGCGGGCATAATTCTAGTTACATGGCCAAAACAAGGTTCCAGATATACGAATTCATTGGTTGTGATTTAAACAATTGGTTTTACGTATAATTTAAAACTCGTTATATATGTTTAATATGCTAAATGCAATGCCATAAACCATCCCCAAAATCACAATTTTTATGGGTGCAACTTCAACCATCCCCACATGGTAGTTGTTCATGGCAGCCAGGGTTTCCCACATTAATAATTAGGATAACTATTCCAACACCATTCATAATCATTATTAAGCTATTCAATGCCATTATATTAATAAAAAAAAATGTCCGGGCCGAGCTTGGAACACATTTCAGCTGCAGCATTTCTCCAGGTTATCAAAGAGGCTGAGGATCATGGTTTGCCAGTCACTTGGCCATTTCGGCCCCTGCCACTGCCACCAGGGTGATAACAAACAAATGCTTATGTCCATGCACACACTCACGTGTGTATATATACACATATTTAACGAACTGTTACCTGCAATAATATATGCATGTGCATTTGAATATGTACATTTAAATATACATATGTATATATGCAAGTATTTTGAATAATACATATATATATATACCCCTCCGGGGCAAACGTTCGCCCAAAGTTTCATTGAGGGTTTAGTTACAGATTGTTTTAGGGTTTGCTTAGGGTTGGGTTAGATTTTCTTTTGGGTTTGTTTAGTTAATTTTCGTGCTATTTATTGTTGATTTAGGGTTTGCTCACGGTTGTTTTAGGGTCTATTTGGGTTATTTATGGTTGATTTAAGGTTGGTTTAGGGTTTGTATAGGGTTTATTTAGGGTTAGGTTATTTTGGTGTGCTTTCAAAGCCTTGCACTTTGTTGAGGTCTCAGTTAACGGCTCAAAACACTGCAAATTACGGAGGATATCTTTAAGATACGCTTCAAAAGGTGATTTTGGCACCGTCTTAGGTAAGCGCAGAAATGCAATGAGACGCAGATAATATCAATATGTTGCATGCTCGCAGTGTGCAAAAAACACGCACGGAAACAACACAGCAGATTGCAGTCCCGCATGGAATTCTGTGGATTTCGGTCAAACGTCAGCCCCCTAGCGATATATACATATATATATATATATGTATATTCAATTTGCTTGCTTCATATCTATCTAAATGTACAAATGATGATTGAACAAATTTTGAATGGTGTTTAACTTGGCAACAAATAGCACCTTTTCAAGGAATGAATATTGTAATTACTGCATGAATTTGAAACAACTCCAGTTTGGCGCATTATTTCATACTAGTCGTACGTTTCTGTTAAATCGGAACATCATCATGTAAGCGGCAAAGGGGGTCAACAAATTTACCATGATGGTGTTGGCTACGGTCAATGTCAAGTGGCCTGATATTAACGAGGGAACATGTTCACAAAAACCAATTATTTGTTAGGGTGAAGAAACTGACCTCCCTCTAGATGTTCCCTTAAATCGATCCATATCTGTGGAATGGGAATTGCAACTGATTCATTGGCCGGACGAGGTGCCTCAGGTGACATCAACTGGCTCTTGCTGGAATTGCGTGCCATTCCTGTTTTTTTACTTTGGATCTGGTTGAAAGACAATGATGAGAATTGTGTTTCAATTTGTATTCAACCCTTGGGATCTCTTAGAAGAATCACCGCCAACTCGGATTCCAAGCTGCGGATAGATCCGGACCGAACTCGCGGGGCACATGGGGCACCAAGGATCAAGATCTTCAAGAGCCACGGATGGCTGTGAAGAAGTTGGTGACCTGTCGAAAGGGGTAGCTACGGGCGCCAGATACACAGCGGGCACTTGTTTGTTTATGTGTGTTCTCTACTGCATATATACATGTGAAGATATGTATATGACGAGATACATATGTTTTTGTTTCCCTCTCTCTATATGTAAATAATCATAGTGTATATGCATGTGCTATGTGTTTTTTTTGCCTAGCCAATCTCTAGCCACTCTTCCATCTCTAGCCATATATAGTGCATATATATATATATATTTCATTATATTTCTATGATTATGTATATGGGTACATTACGTGAACACACACATATATATATATCACTATATAACTATCTCTCTATTTATATATATATATATATATCACATTATATGCAACTATAGATATATCAATATATATATATATATAAGTGACTATGTATATATATATATATACAATATGTACTTATTTTTACACATACATGCTACAGCAGGTATAGAAGGTCACCAGATATCAGGCATATCGGTATCAGCTCCAAAATATTCCACAATCACAATATGTATGTAAGTGTATTGGTTGGAGCCAATGTCATTGACGTACAACACGAGGTGTGGCTGGGGTGTCTCACTGGGAAGGAGTTGAAGCCAGCCAAACAGCAGTGGATGAAGTTTCGCGTTGTCCAGGAATCAATCTCTCAGTTTTGGATAAGCAGGTCATGAACGGATCTGTTCCATTTGTTTCACTATTTTTTTTATGTTGATGGTGATGTTCATGCCTCTTTGTTTTATATAATGATCGGATTGATATAGTCTCACTGTCACAGTCTTATCTTTTCGTCAAGGAAATCTCTGCAAAGGATTAATCATAGGCTCTATCCAGCTCTCATCCAAATCCGGCTGCCCAGATCAAGTACTCCGAAGTCACCAGTTTGCCGGGGCCTTGTCGCAGCAAGTGCAGTGAACTCTTTTGGGCACTTGCTGCTAGAATATTACTGCATGATCTGTTTGTCGTTTAGATTCTGCGTTTGGGAAATCGGGAAATGGTTTCTGACTGTGTCGGTTATTTTCCACAGTTGAAACCCGAACTCATGAATGTCACGGGAGGTTTTGATGTGGCTCTTGAGATTCCAGTTGCTGCAAGTTTTCGCAACGGTTTACCAGCCGAAACATGCACAGATCCTAACAACACCGGTCAATCATTTAATTATAATTATATATATATAAATGGATTATGCTGACTGGAAGTGCGCTGCGAAAACTTTAATGAAACTGTTGCAGAGTCGGAAAGGGCAGCACACAGCAAGTTAGTCGGACACTCCAGGGGACTTTAGATCATGAAACAGGTCGGTTTTTGTGGGAAACCCCGGCTGCCAACTACCATCTAGGGATGGTTTATGATGGTTTATGGATGGTTTATGGGGGTTATACTACCCATCTAGGGATGCTTGTGGATGGTTTATGGGGTTTACCACATGAACCCGTTTCTTTGGTGTATGTGACCAGCAGGGTAAAGACATGGTTCCAAGATGCCCCGTTTTTTTTCCAGGCCCTTACGAAAGGGTGGTCCCAAAGATGTTTGATCTTGTTAGATTCTTCAATCTGAAAAAAACATTAGAAAACAACATCATCTTTTGGACCATTGGCCTTTGAGGTCATAAGTCCCTAAATGTGGCCGTGTGTCTGAACCATTTTTCTGCATGTTGGCGCTGAGGTGGGAACCGCTGAAAAGGAACGGATGCTCGGTGTGAATGTTCGCTAGCGACAGGGGTCACCTGTGGTCAGCAAGCCATCCTTAGATGGGCATGGGTCAACACCACGGAACCTCCAAAAAGTGATTGACAACCATGCTGGAAAATGTGGAGGATCTTTAAAAGAAGGTACCATGGTCTCGGCATGTTTCGACCCATTGCCTTTCATCTTGTGCAAGATTCATTTTGTGGATATGTCATTATGTCTTGGATATTAGACCTTCTTTTTAGGTGGGAACTTGTTGATTGGTTCGGTATGCTATAATTTTCCTTAAACCTTCATTCATTTTACTTTCAGAGTCATGGCTAGGCTGCAACAGCTGGAAGGGTTCTGTAGCTGTAAGGTAATGGTTTCCCTTTTGGGATTCATTTGAAAATAACATGTTCAATGGTAAAGACCTTATTGTGGCTCGCCAAGAAAACACATGCTGTCTCGTGAACATTATATGTTGCTTGATTATACACGATTGATTATATAAATCTACAGATAATTCGCTGAAGTCGGATACTGCTGCAAGACATTTTGCAAAATTCTTGCCTGGTTACCCTCTTGTAATCAAACCTGGCCGGCAAGTTGCCCATTTTGTGACCGATGATTTTCCCAGCAAACTAAAACCTCCATTCAGTTTTCGCGCCTCAAAGGTGACGGTGTGTCACCTGTGGTGTTGCTGCGAGGCCTGAAGTGGTGGAGATTGGCGGGAGATGTGTGGATACCCTTCGGTGTCACCAAACATTGCTAGCTCCGAAATTCCATATATGTGAAGGTTTTAGTGAGAATATCCTTTACACTGGGTAAGATTAACATGCGACAACAACAAAGTGTAAAGTCTACTCTACTGGTCAGTATAATTAGCCAGTATAGCTATGTTTTTAATCCCATAGAAGTAAATGATTGGTATACCATCTGTAGAGAACGTTTTCGTGGGAATACCATCTGAATCTGTACATGATTGTCGGGTATATCGGGATATAGCCACCTTGGTTGGTAGGGGATGATCCCCCGTGCAACGCGCATGTTCTTGCCAGGGGGTTTAACCACCAACCAGTAACAAACATGAGCGATTTTGGCCATGAACAATAGGGATATAATATAATGAGATACGGACAGTTAGAAAAATATGGACATATGATTCCCAGCATTGCACCCAAGAGTGGCAATGCAAATGGGTGACAGCTAGAGGGAATGTTGTGGCATGATTTGTTATTCATTTGATATCGTGCAAGTTTAAAGTGGTAGATGTTTGTTTGCTTGTGCTTTAAGAGGCTGGACATGTCCTGGCTGGCTGAAAAATCTAACATGTCTTACAGGGTATATAAGGCATTAAAAGAATTATAAGGCTAATCGTGTAGTTTGTAGATCCTCAAGTTCTGGAATCGCATGATTGACAATTGAATGCATACTATCTGTGTGTATGATTGTGTATGTGTCTATATGCGCACATACAATGCATGAGCGCAAGCATAGGCTCAGGGGTTCTCAATAGATAGAACAGTTAGGTACCCCTTAGCACCTTAATATATTGCTGGTAATTGATGCACCTGTTTTTCTATTGCATGGTCCCTATGCAACTACATGCAGACACAGGCACGCACACACACTAGACAAGAATGGATCATTATATGATCCGGCAGGAACTGAGTCCTGTGACATGCAGATTAGATTAGTTACTTAGATATGGATGAAAAATATATATATATATATATGGGACTATGGTGACCACCAGCTGCGTCTTACAATTGCGCCCAGGTGCGTCACCACAGTCCCGCGGGTACGTTTACACGGGTCCCCGGGAGGTGTCTTCGATGGTCACCGACCTCCCAGGGACCCCGGTGACCCCCCGCATATATAAATATATAAAGTATAAGAAGTTTTACGTCTATTCAGACGGTACACACACACACCCTGCCTCCGGCAGGGTGGTGCGCGTAAACATGAGATGAAGATGAGGATGAACAGGGGATGAAAGATGAGATGAGAGTGAAAATGAGATGAAAGTTACTTAACCAGGACGCGAAGAGGGGAACGCAAAAGAAGAGGGAAGGAGAAAACACACACCAACACACCTAGCCCGGAACGGGCGAACCCTGAAAAGGCAAGGGAAAAGAAAAAGCGGAGGGTCGACGGACACGGACCAAGACCAACGGAGGGGGGGGAAGACGGAAGCGCCTGAACCAACCTGACACAGCGAAAACCTACAAAAACCTCAGCACGCGACGGAGCCAACCTACCTGGGGGGTGAAGGAAGCATGAGATAGGGGACCAATGGGGAACTAGTTGGTGAAAACAGAACCAAACAACAAACAGGATTCAGTCCCTAACTGCCTAAAAAGTCGTGCGATTATTGCCTGCACCGGGACCGTGGTCAAGTCGTGCCGCAATGGCATAAAACAGCTTCCAAGTTTCAACGAATTAGATGCACAATATGTTTCACCTCACCAAAAACCAAAGAGACCACACCTGCAGGAAAAGGACATGCCTGTTGCCTTTTGTCGTGAAAGTCATGTTGAACTTCAAATGCGCAAGCTGCAGAGAAAAAAGGTTTCTGGTAGTTCGAAGTGGCTTCACTCAATAGAGATGCATTCACTGGGTTCATAAAGGACAGCCGGAAGCGCGGGACATCACAAAAGGTGCAAAACGGAAAGGCCAGCTGTTGCACATTGATTAAACGAATTACCAAATTAAAATGTGTGAATTCAGAGTTCAAGACTGTCAACACTCACCCTGAAAAGGGTTGCCTCCAATGGCTCCATGGCACCATGTCGGAGCCACCATGGAAATCACACTAGACAAGAATGGATCATTATATGATCCGGCAGGAACTGAGTCCTGTGACATGCAGATTAGATTAGTTACTTAGATATGGATGAAAAAAAAATATATATATATATATGGGACTATGGTGACCACCAGCTGCGTCTTACAATTGCGCCCAGGTGCGTCACCACAGTCCCGCGGGTACGTTTACACGGGTCCCCGGGAGGTGTCTTCGATGGTCACCGACCTCCCAGGGACCCCGGTGACCCCCCGCATATATAAATATATAAAGTATAAGAAGTTTTACGTCTATTCAGACGGTACACACACACATGTCGTACAATGATGTACATATAATATGTATTAATATGTCCGTCTATAAAGTCATTGGTATGTATTGTTTGCTTTCTGAAACTGATGTGTATACATGCGTATAATGTAATATGGATACATATATATATACACACATACACACATACACACATACACACATACATACATACATACATACATACATACATAGATACATACATACCACACACATATATATATACATATGCATTTATACACACATATACTCTTAGATACACATTAATATCTGGGCAAATATGCGCAGAACATTTCAATGTAGAGAGAGAGAGAGAGAGAGAGCCAGGCCGCTGGCTGTGCCAGTTGGCACAACAGCCGGGCGCGCGACTGCCACGACGACAAGACTTGCCGGCCGAAGCTGTTTGGGACACTGGGTGGAACCGTGGGCAGATAAAGGAGATCAGCAAATTCGTGGGAGAAAGTCGTGGATATGATGCACACACATATATCTATATATAGATATACAGATACAGAAGTAAATGTATATATATACATATATATATATATATACAATTTCACGCTTTATATAATATAAGTGAAAATGTATACAATATAAGTTGAAATATTACTGGGATATTATGGGTAACCGACGGTCATTATTGGCATCAGCACTTTGCAAGATGTTCACCCCATCAACGAACCGGGTCAAAAACTTGTTGGCTTGGCATATGTCTTTGCTTCCTACAGTATCCACAAATATCTACATATAGATTTGAACCTCAACGGGTCAGGTATTTTGCAGTAGACATGGTACGACGAATCTGTCAAAGTTAGGCGAAAAAACGACTTATACATTAATCATATTATCCTGAAGGTGATGTGGTGCAACAGGACTCGCTATGGCGCAGCTACGTTCGTCCACCGCTGAGGAGCATGATGAGTTGCAGTTGGACTCGGAGCAATACGATGCGGGGCGGCACCTGCCTCCAACCAAAGTGGTGGCCATCTCGTGCCCCTTACGGTTGGCGCTGAATGGAGCGGGTAGCTGTGGTTGGGCACGTTGGGCTATACTATGCTATACCTGGTGGTGAAATGCATTTGCGATTTTGCGATGTGCTTTGATATATGTTATAGTCCCATATGATCCTGATAATCTGAGGATTGTCACAATTTGTTGACATAATTTCTTTTGTGAGCTGTCATCCATTATGGGAGCCGTGTCCATCAAGTTTGGTAGGTTTGGGGATGACATATGACCTGGGCAATGCTCCCTTGTTTATTTGCTACTTTATATTTGTCCAAGGCATGAAGCGTAAAATGTTTAAAGGGGGACTTCCACCACTATCTAACAAACATAATTTTTACCTAGATAATGACGTCCTCACTGGGAACAAAACTAGGCATGATTGGAATGGTGCCAAGCATTGTCATTCAAGGAATCTGGAGCTTAAGGAGTGCTATATCATATGTGAACAACAAAACCAAAAAATAAACACATGTACTCATGTTTTCCATAGGGCCTGGGGGCAGATTCCAGAATTTTGGGGTCTTCTTTTCAACAAAGTCAAAGGGCAACTGCCAGCGTACTGTGGAAGGTACTGCTGGAGCCCTGCCATAAATTGGGCCGTGGGGAGCCGTGGAAGGCTTGAAATTGAGGCAGAAGCCACCTACTGAGTTGGCTCGAAACCAAATCCGATTTAAAGTCGACAGTTGGATCATCCTAAAATCTACAACTATCCGGCTGCCGGAATTGGACAGGGCAATCAAGAACCATGCCTTGAAATCTACTTGTTGATGATTTGAACATTCGAAATGATGTTCCAGCTATGTTGGTTGGCGCACTTGACTCGTGAGATCATCGGGATTGCAACCCGATTTCAACAAATAAGAACTAGTGCATGTCAGCTTGAACCGGCTTACATGAACTAGTGGACACTAGTGGTAAATGGCCAGATTTTGTGACCTGACTGCCGGTAGTCGGAACCATTTGAAGGATGACTATTCACTGCATCCAAGGCATCGACTGGAACATCCGGATCCGGAGGGTGTGCAGTTGTAACCTGCCATGGTTAAGATGGTTGGATAGGTGGGAAATTAGGGAATCAACCGGATCTTTATCTTGATAAGGGTTAGAAAAAATAAACATAAAACATGCGAAACCAGTGAGTAGGAGTAGGAGTTAATGTAAAGGATTGGAGAATACTATGAACATTTGAGGGTTTCCTAAAATAGGGGTACCCCAAGATCATCCATTTTAGTAGGGTTTTCCCTTATATAAACCATTCATTTTGGGTATCCCCATTGATGGAACCACCCATTTGTATATGCATTTGTATGGAATATGCAGGCAACTACCCTGATTAGATCCAGAGGATGCGACTGCATGGCCTGTACCATTGGTTTTGCAGACATCATAGGTGCTACAGTTTTTTTGAAGCAGCGTTTCTGCATCTATGTGAAATGTAGTTTGGATAACAACATCTTCCTGCTGATTTCTTTGCTGTAACAAGACAGGTTTCTTTACCCTGCAATAAATGGATATGAATGGAGCTTGCGGGGTTGAACACCCAGAAAATCAATACTTGCAGATGACACTTGAAAAAATGCATACAGTAACATGTGCATTTTTTCAGCCAGGCGGGCGAAAAAAAAGAAATTATGACCCCACAGCTGGCGCGTCGCAGGTACATGGATGGCCACATGGGGTCCCGTAGAGTTTGTTGAAGCCAATGGAACGCGTACCATCTTGGAGTGGGAAGGGTTTCTGATTGGCTTCAACCTGTCTAAAACCAAAAATATGTATATAATGTACTCGTAATGTACTCGTAATGTAATGTAAATGTAAATGTAAATGCAATGTAATTTAATGTAGTGTAATGTAATGTAATGTAATGTAATGTATGTCAGACATAGCCTCGAGTAAGAGTGACCACCAGAACTATCATCTCAAGAGAACTGGGTTCACCTGTCAGTGGTAAGGCCCTCGCTTTAGAACGCGGAAGATGATCCTTCGTCATCAAAATAGAAGTTCCCCACCTGACAGTAGCCTGCTGCCTCGACATGTCACCACTACCCCACCCCACCCCACCCCGCAGCACCCTACCATGCTGCCCCTTGCCAGTTCCATGATGCGTGTGTTCTGAAGTGATCCTGCTGCCCGTTAGGGGGTGGTGGATATATATATATATATATATATTTAATAAATACATAATAAATATTCCTGTAATGTCAACCCCAGCTGAATAAAACCTGGTTGCTAATTATGGAGGTTGTCCCAAATAGTGATGTTTTGCTGCTACAATGGTCCTCGTCCTCCCCCAATAAACAGCCCAGGGGTTTTGCCAAATCCAGGGCTGAGATTATGATTATATATATATAAATCCCTTCATCATTTCAGAAAATTCCAAGACACTACAGCAACCTGTTGCCACTTAACGATCGGTTCATGAACGAATTCCCACATCATTTGGGTTATTGAAGGGACTTGGGGCAGTGCTCATCAGTGCAAAAAGGCAAGCCATTGCTGCCTTGACCCGCAGTGCTTTGGAGGACCTGGGCATCTTGGCAGGGGATGAAACAATTACCCTCCTGTGAACTAACATAGCTGTGGGAAATCACCATTTTCTATAATAACAATAATAGGTAAATCATCTATTCATGGAGCATTTTCACAGCTATGCTAGTTTACAATAGGGTATATGTCGAGATATGGGCCTTGATCCAGGACCTTTACCAGGGTTTCTGGGGTAATCGTAGAGGGAAAAGATCATCACCCCCCATTTTTCGCATAGATCAAGAGAACAGATTGGACGGAAGCTTCCAAGCACCAAGTCATAGCAGGGTCGTGATGTTAGGGGGATGGTGAGATTAACCAGCAATCATGGGGATATATTGAGCTGCGAACCATGAAAACAAGATTTGTCACGATGGTTTTATCGAAAGCCGGCACGTCTACGTAATAAAGGGTATCATTCGGGTATTCTAGTCTAATTATGTACACCGCATGACAATTGGAATTGTCCAGGAGTGGGGAGTTGACCCCAATTTATGGTAGCTAGGGATCATCAACATGAGGTTTTAAATCGCAGGATTTAGCAGCAGTTTATTTTCAGACAAACCCACACGGTGTTTCCATGATTGGAACAATGTTGAAGCTATTTGGTACCAGAATGGGCTCAACAGAATCATCACCGAAGACTGGAAGTTGACCCGCAATCAGCGGATCTACCCTGTCATGATACGCTCATGACTTTCAAAGCCACAACTACCGTCTAGTTTTTGTTTTCGACATGTTCATCCCTACCAATAAGAATGTGTCCTCCTAAATTGGCTTTCATATCCTTGTTTGAGTTACACCGCCACATTTAACATGGAACCCAAAATGGGCCATATTCTGTGTAACCATTTTTGTCGGGTTTTTGGAGCAATCCATTTCCCGTATTATTTAACAACCCCTTGAAAATCATCATCATGGTGTAATATTAAGTTTATTCATGAATTGGAGTCGCAACTATTCGGCGTTTTTCCTCTGATCGGGGGCTGAGATTAAACCAATGTCTATTGAGTCTACTGGATGATTTCACCATGAAAAACACATGATTCCCAAATTCCCAGGTACTGCCGTCGAATCCCTTATGTTGCACTTCTGGTATCCCCGTGGCAATTTCCACTCTAGAACTGGTGAACCTGTGCATAGTTTAAACATTTTTTTAATGTATTGGAAACTAAAATTGATGTCAGGCTAGTCATTTTATTGTTGGGGGGTTGGTCTGAGCATTTTATTGGCAAGGTAAATCCTTATGATTTTTAACATGTTAAAATTCCATTCTCATTTTATTGCAAAAAAAAGTCTGCTTGGAGCATTTTATTGCAGAACGGAACCAATGCTTTTCCAGGATCTTTTTATATTTATATCGATTTTATTGGGCATGTCATTTTAGATCAGCGAATTTTAAGGAATTTGAAGGAATTCTAAGGAATATTAAGGAATTTTAAAGGAATTATAAGGAAATTTAAGGAATTTAGAGAGTTTTAAGGAATTTTAAGGAATCTTAGAGGAATTTTAAGGATTTTAAAGGAATTTGACGGAATTTGAAGGATTTTGGAGGATTTTTAAGGATCTTTAATGTTTTTTAAATTTTAAAGGATATTTAAGGAATTTCAAGGAGTTTTTTGGAATTTTCAGGAATTTAAAATTTAAAGGATTTTCAAGGAATTTTAAGGAATTGCCACGAAAGAATGCCACCGTATTTTGTTGCTACAAAATGCTATAAAAGAAGAAAAGCATGAAATATTTGAGCACCTTCACTCTAAAATACCTCTGTCTAAAAAGAGTTTCCTGACCCCTTTTTAAAGAGGCGTTTCTGAGGGTCTTCGAAATTGGATGAAGTTGGATGCAAATTCGGGCATGAATTTGCTGGCAATGCATTTTATTGCAGAACCAGTTTTCATTGTTTTTGTGCATTTTAAAGCCTGAGGCCCTATGCACAAAAGTTAGACCGCTCTAAAACTCCTGCACAGCTTCACATAATGAAATGGAACCCCGATCTTCTGGTATCTATATATATATATATATCTATATACATATCTATACATATATATAAAGAAAGAGAGAGAGAGAGAGAGGGCAGTGGCGCGGGTCCCTTCTCTATAACTTTTAATATATGCATATATATATACATTTATATTCATCATAATCCCAGCACATCTTTTTTGATGGAATATCAATTCATACCTGGCACCAGCATGCTGAATAGCAGCCTCATGATATAGCAGCCCCAGGCAGCGCTGTCGACCTGGCGATTTTCTGGGATTTCTGCAGCCTTTTCCAAGAGCCTTTTCTCAGCACGCTGGAAGAGGAGGTCGCCCTGGCGCTGGCCGAGCCGAAAAGTTTGGTCCAGTGGAAACTTCTATGGGAACTTAGGGGGAATATACTTGCCAATATGGTGGGAATATTTATATATATATATATGTGTATATATATATATATGTATATATATATATATATGTATGTGTATATATATATATGTATGTGTATATATATATATGTATACTGTATATATATATGTATACACACACATATATACATGTAGATATACAGAAAGATATTATTGGAACAGATGGGATATTACTGGGTACTTATTAATCATATCATATATAGATTGGCTATTTGATATAGACCTAATACCCCGTTCGTTTGTTGCAGTTTGCTATGGTATAAATGGCCCATGTCGTTGGATGATTTGCAGAACTTAAAACATGGTGATTTTCTACGGCAAACTGTGAAATCTCCATAGAGTAACGGTGATTGGGGGGATGTGGATGTCCAACGAGGCATTTAAAAATGGTGATAATTGTCTTCATAACGTGTGACTGTGACATCTCAAAATTCTGGGGATATACTGAGACGATCTAACAGACCAGAATGTAATACAATATTGCCATATGCAATGGTGGTTGATGAATTTAAATATGTGCACGCGCACACACACACACATATATATATATTATACATATATATATATATATATTATACACATATATAAATATATATACGGGAAATTGATGGAAATATGATTGGATGTAACCAGCAAAATGTGAAAAGTCAGTGGTAAACTCTCCTTTAAAAAATAGTTGGCATGTATTCAACATTGGAAGCTATGGCATTGGGCTTACCACATGCCCAATGTTTCGAGAATGTTTCGATTTCTGCGGCGTCAGGCTTTCCAAGAGAGCCTGAAGCACGTTGCTATTTGGTATGCGCACAAAAGAACTCAGGCATCGGATTGGGGCAAAAACCAACGAGAAACTGCCGTTGAACCCCCCCCAAAAGGAACATCAAAAATGCTTAGATCTGTGAATTTCCATGTTTTTTTCGGTGGGATTCATTCGCAATGATTTGGGAATGGGATGAGTTCTCAATATGTTTGGTAAATTTTGGTAAACCATCGTTGAACACTCATATGTAGTGTAGTGCAGTGGTTCCCTGTGTTACTGTAAATGAAGCAACGTATCAACCCAGTAAATATCAATAAACACATTTCTCGGTAGCCAAGACACACGGTGGTACGCCCCTAGGTATAAGTTGGTTTATAATCCCCATTAACTATAGATATAACGTCCATAAACCCTAGATATTGTACTTATTTGCACCAACTTAGCTAACTATGGAAAACCACCTTGCAAAGGTTTGCCATGTCATTTCTTTGAGAGATCAAGAATCAAAGAGAGATCCTGATCCTTTCCTTTGCTGCCTTCCAATCCTTGCAGGTCTGGGTTCTGACAGCCAACCCTGAGAACTGCCGCTTGTTTGGATGGGTTTCAACAACGACGTTGAGCACAAAATGGTAGGTGAGTAATATTGATGACAACCATGTTTTGACTATAGGATGGGATCGTGTAGATGAAATGTTCACTTTGGTTGATGTCCTGACTTTTGAGTGGTCGCACTTGAAAAGAAACAAGCTGGCAAAATGCCTCTGGCGGTCTGGATCCAAACTTCAAGTCTTGTTCCAGTGCACTTGTTGCAAGATGATTGCTTTCAAACATGTTGTTCATTGTATTAAATAGCCCCAGCTTAAGGCGGCTGTAGAAATGCACCAGCGATAGATTCTTTTACTCCCATTCCCCGGTTAGATTGCTGGTACCCTTGTGATCACCCCTGGTCTTGGCAATTAAATACTCATTTGCAGCACAGGATTGCCGGTTACTTACCCTTTGATAATCAACCATGGCAATTGAATACCCTCTACGAATGGTGTTTGAATGGGAAGATCCTCTTTATTTATGGTCGATTTTCCATTGCCATGTTCGATTGTCGGAGGGTATGTTTCTATATTGCTGAGTGGTTTGGCCCCACTCACTTTACGACTTGTATATATTTGTATAGTCAATGGCCCATGTGTAGATGATTTACTATGTTTTAACATGATGATATCTTAGCTATGTTAAGTTACCAGATGCTACACCCAAGTTACAGACGAACCAATATTTGCACTGCACGCACTAGCCCTGTGCTGGTGGTTGCTTCCTTTCTTTTCTCTAATGTTCAGATGGTGTCAGCTGACGCCAGCATTCCAAAATACATGGATAAAGATGGTCCATGCCCCCCCATGCATGTCTGTTGGTCAATTCTTGATCAATCCCAAATGTTGGCCGATGATTAGATCCTGAATCCTCATAAAACAGAGTGTTCTTTAGTTGCATCCGCATTTTGTGAAGTCCTCATCTTCTGGCTTAAAATCCTCCTTCATTTTTGTCCACAAATGTCGATAATATATGATAGTATATATGATAATGTATAATATATATATACACATTATATACATATATTATATCTATCTATCTATCTATATATATAAATAAATAAATATCATATATATATATGTGAGATATTACATATATAAATATATTATGTATATATATATACAGCCTGATTCTGTTTCCGACTGAAAAGGCCAGAACCTCCACTTTAGATCACTTTAGTTGGTCAGCAAGTGAAGCCGGATGGATGATGGATCCACAGCAGGTTTTTTTCCGGTTGATATCCCCAAATTTGGGGTGACTGGAAATCACTGCCGGTCTCATCACCCATGTTACCCCTATCCATCACCCAGATCAGCTAGACGCTTTGGCGGGGACTGCACTGGCAGGGCACGCCTTGGGAAGCGACGGAGTGGCTGCCTCTGCCCTCGCAGAACACGCCTTGGGAGATGAAGGCTGTACAGTGCTGCCTTATGAAGCTCGGTTTGGCGAGGGATGGGGCCAGAATGGCACGAATCGTAGTGCACCAGTGGAGTTAGTTAACTCGGTTTTGGTTGAGAAACCGATGGTTTCTGACAAGTTTCGTTGGTTAATCCATGATGACTAAGGAATCTATTGGAATCTATCGAATCTACTGGACATATTGGTTTATTGTTGTTGAGACCCTGTAAGCACATGCGCGGTTAAGCCGCAGCGGTTCCAATGGTATGATCAAGATGCATGAGTCGTTGGTGCAAGATGGAGCCCCTGAGTTAGAAAGTGTTTTTTTGAAATCCATTGAGCTGCAGACAACCATAGCTAGCCTAGTTATACCTACTACCTGCAGGGGTGTTTTTTTCACTCTTTGTTCAGTGTTGCGGATGATTTTTTGGACCATACATGAGCTAAAAGAAGGAAGATTGAGTGTCATTTACAAGGTACCTAACTGACTATAAGGGAAGCCATGTCATAATTTGGAAATTATTGGAAAACTATGATAGTACAAAGCGGTCGGTGGGACTTGTTTTTTTCCTCCCCCTCTCAGACGAACCTATAAAAAGTGTTTTTTGTGCAAATTCGCTTAAACTCAGAACATTTGGGGAAGGATTACGGGTGGCATTGAACCATTTGGATGGTTTGCAGACAAAATCTTGGAGGGTCAAGGGTCAAAACATTGGTGTTCACCTTGTGCGGTGAACGTGGCTTAGTTTTTATGCTTTCGGATGTGTTCATCTACAAAAACGGAGGTCAGCAAGGCCCGCAAAGCCCTTGGATGATAGCATTGTTGAGTGAAGGAACACGGCCTAAACCTTCAACTGGTGGTTTCCTTAAAAAAAGGGGTACCCCCAAATCATATATATAGATGGATTTTTCATGATTTTCCATTATAAACCATCCAGCTATTGGGTACCCCCGTGACTATGGAAACCACCAACTGGTATGAAAAAGAATGAAAAACCCATTCCCCCGAACCTTTCAGGACTCGCGCGGCTGGCCCACCTTCGAACGTTCTTGAGCGGCATTGAAGAAAAAACGGGAGAATTATCTGTACTTTACCCAACGGTAAACTAACATTGATGCGGAAAATACGGGAGCAACAAACCACCAAGGAAAGGAGGGCAATGTTTGTCACTGACAGTTCAAGTAGTGCTTGATGCGCGGCCCCTGCCAGTGAGATAATATATATATATATACATTAATCTATGATCTGTAACTATATAATTTATATAGACATATTATACAGTACATGTATATGTATATGTATATATATATATATATGTATATGTATATGTATATGTGTATGTGTATGTGTATGTATATGTATATGTGTATGTGTATGTATATGTATGTTTATATATTTAGATATGTATATGTATACTATATCCATTATCGCTGGGGGCCGCACTCATGGATTGTAGATTAATTAGTATGGTTAGATATGTATCTAATTATATAATAAACACATCATGTCTTTTATTTCTACACGGACATACCCTTTAAATAACTACCAGCATAGCCCAATCATCGCATTTTGACAAACCGACATCCAGCTGGGGTGGATCCTCATTGTGACCACCGTTGGGTGCACCCAAATGCCAGGGTTGATCATCATGTTTGCCATTCAAATGGCTGTAAATCCATTGAAACCATGTTTAATCCTCCATTGTTGTGGACAACCATATCAGACCATAACATATATGTGTATTGATATTCCAGTGTGTCCCCATTTATAGATGCGTTTGATCGGCAACTTTCTGCCCCTGCTCCGAGGCAATGTGGCCGAATTGTTGGCTTGCGAGGCCTGTTTTGATCTGACGGATCCTGGCAGAAGTATACCATTCTGGCTGATCTTACTTCACACAACCATAGAATCATAGAAAATCACGGTAGGAAACCCAATAGCATCCAATACTATCCTCAAAATCACCATTTTTCATGGCTTGTATTGACCATCCCCAAATGGGAGGTTTATGGCAGCCAGGGTTTTTATTGCATCTATCGTTGCCATGACATCACCAGGGAATAATGACCCCAACTGACTCATATTTTTCAGAGGGGTTGGTATACCACCAAGCAGTTAGTGATTGAGGAATTTAGACAGACATTAAAAAAAAAAAACAGTGGTTTATCCCATGCTGGTTTGTTGATTCCAACATAGATTTTAGTGGTGCATATGCCCTTGATCGAACCACACGACTAAACCGTGGATGACTAGTTTAGGGTCTCCGTTGAGCAGGAGGGTTGCCTCCCAGATGGTTGCAAATCCTAGGTCCAAATTCAACCCAAAGCTGATGGAATGTTCACTTGATGTTTCCGGTTCGGTTTTTCCTACAGATCTCAGCATGACAATTCATCCGCAGGGTGGAGCTGGGCAATCCATCCTTCTGATCAATGATGATATCATCAAGCAGCTTTCATCCATGTAGCTCGGTCATAGAACATTTACTGCTGGATACTACTGGATTTCAAATCTGATCTTGCTTTTGCAAGACTTGAAACTAAGTCATTGACCGCGAGAGTGTACATCTTCTCGGGGACAGATGGCATGTAGTAGGCTGATCCCTTCCGTGAGAAGTTGCTTGACGAAGATATGTCTGTTAGTTGCTCTCAGGCAAGCTAACGTGGCAGTTGAGTTATATAACAATTTCTGGTGGATCAGTTGAACCACCGTTTCAGTACAGAACCCCGGCCACTACTCATGTGGTCTACGTATGGAACATGTCCTTACACTTGGATACACTTTGATGATTCTAAGGCCAACAGCTTTGGTCAATGTATACCCGACATAAACAATGAATTCAAGCAAATGTGTTAGTAACAGTCAAAAAATGGGGCGCCCCAAATTTCACAATGAGAAAGCGATGGAGAAAAATTGCACGGATTATATAATCATCACTTTCCGTGTGAAATACCTCAGACACACATGCATAAATCACATCTTGCTGGTTACGGTGTATAATTTTGGTGACAGCATATAGTTACACATATCCGACATATCCTATGATTATCACATTCATAGCACATCAATCTCCAATATCCCACTTTCTATTGTCTTAGTTTTGCTTATTGACTTCTCTTATTTTGCTTATTGGGACCACCATGGAAACTCGAAGATCTCCAAGGCGCTGGCATGAGATCATGGAACGCTTGAAGGCGAAGCAGGTGCCGGCGGGGAAGGGAGAAGAATCCTGGTAAAATCATGGGAAACAATGTGGTATATACAGTAAATATCATAGAAATCAGACATCAATAGAAATAAACAGAAATCAATACAAATCATGGAAGTGGAGAGGAGAAGTTCTTTGAACATCATGAGCAGATCGAAGTGCAACAGGATCAATCAAGGCTCTTCTTTTGGAGTTTGATGCGCTTCAGAAAGAAGACAATAAAGCTCAAGCCCATTTCCCAAAAGGATAAGCCATATCCAAAAATGTTTTTGCGGGCTGCAACAAACACCAAAACTTAGGCAGAACCAACAGAATCAACAAACTTTGGGATGGTTGGTTTAAACTGTGGTCACAGGAGTTGTATGACTGGGCATGTTCATGGGTGATGCACGCAAGTTGCTGCTCAATGCGTCCCCTCGTAACTGCGGCAGGGGCAGGTAGTCTGAGTAGCTTACTGGTCTCTTTGGCGGGGGATTTACTGAGGGATACACAACACGTTCTTCCTACACCATCCGAACTTTGTTCTGTTCTACCCCCTCTACCTGAGATTTGGTCACCTGATCCTAATTCAATTGCCATTGGATTTGCTGCTGGAATTACAGTGGGTTTTCTGGTTGGACCTTTATTTGATTTGCTGGTGGTCATCCGAATTGCCTGGGCTCGATTTATTCGAGCTCGCCTCGGCCTAGGAGCCGGCTACTCAGGACCGTTGTACCGGATCCTTGGATGAGCGCGGGGCTTTTCAGCTCTCTCAGAGCTGAGCTGAGTAGTCTGCGGGCTGCTCTGAGGTCGCTGATCACCAGGACAGATCAGCTGGAGAGGCGGTTGGAGGAAGCTGAACAGTCAGGTTTTGATTTGATTTCAGACGCTCCCAGTGAACCAGCTAGAGAGACAGAGGCTAGGAGTGAGGTCACGAGGTCGTCTCAGTCAAGTGCAGGTAGAACAGTGGAAACAGAGGACACGGAAGGTCGAGTGGCATTAGCAAAAGAACTTGGTCAGTTTTTGCGCCGCTGCCTCTCAGGTGAACCCCGCGGCCCTTCGGGCCGAGATCGCCTGCGGCTTCAGAACCGCTTCTACATTGTGTGTGCCGACTATCACGGCAGGGTCCTGCCTGAGCCTTTGTTTTTAGACAATTTTGCCACAGTGAGAGGGCTGTGCAAACAGGGGTCATCAGCGGGGCAGTCCATTTTTCTAGGAGTGGCCACAAAGTGGGAAGCGAGGATTGTTTTCAGAGAAGCAGGTTTGAGGGTGCCAGAAACTCTCAGACATGACTGAGCGAGCTGTTTGCAGTGAGGAGATTCGCCAGTCTCTACTTGTCTCGGAGACTGGCGAGGCTAAGGTAGAGTATCAGCCTTGCCATTTAGTTACACAGACTGAAGGTGAGGAATGCATCATCAATTTGGTGCCAATAGCATTGCATCAAGGAAAGCTTCTTGTGGCCGCTCCTGCCGAAGCGTGGAGCCGCACAGTGGCAGACCGGCTGCTGCCAAAGAATTCATTCAAGAAGCCAGTTTTGGTAGAGGTTTTGACCGCTACGGTTCTCGCACCCGAAGAGCTGCGAGCCGAAGCGCCTATGAACGTGTGGGTAGGCCTTTTGGAAAGAGCTTGGAGCATGCAGTTGGAGCCAGGCCGCCACGAGCTGCCCACAGCAGACATTTGGCATCTTTTGCCGGAAGGGGATCACAGCATTCCATACGGGCCCGGCTTGGCCCAAGTTTCAGAAGAGCATTTTGCCTTTCTGACGGCTCAGAGTGGGGACGCCGCCGAAGAGCCGCCTCCCGAGCCCAGTTTTGCACCTTCGCACGGTGGTGCGAGATCCGGTCTGAGCGATCCGCCTCCGGTTTTGGAGTCTCGAATGGCAGCTATGGAGAAGATGCTGGCTTCAATGCAGGGAGCGCTAGAGCGCCTAGCTGGGGAGCCTCCTCGGCCGTCAGCTCTGCGAAAGCCAGGCGTGAAACCAGCCAACCCCACTCCGGCGAGATTGCGAGCAACTTTTGCTCCAGGCACCATTCCAGGATTAGACCCGACCGTGGTCCAGTCAGCTTTGGACGCTGGCATACCAGAAGAGCAGCTGCGCACTTTGAGCGGCCTGTTGCAGAAGCCCAACCAGATGGGAGATGCTCCTTTGCCAAGCACCAGCAGCAAGCGACGCAAGAGCGTCTCGGTGTTGGAGGAGACAGACGACGAAGAAGAAGTAGAGGCCGACAGAGAAGACGGTTTTGGAGTGGAGGAGGACGCCCTACCAGACGAGAAGGCTGGCACGGGAGATCCCGTAGAGCAGGCACTGCTAAAGCTGACGGAGATCGTCGGTACTTTGGCAAAAGACAAGAGGCCGCGAGACCTCGATGCCATGCTCGACGGCTTAGATCCAGAGGTAGGAGAGGCTTCGAGCTCTGGGTCAGGCAAAGGCAAAGCTGCAGTTTACAAAAAGCTGCAGAGCAGTTTGACCGAGAATCCAGCAGTGATCTACCAGACCACCGAAGCTCAGTTGGAGAAGGACTTCAACCTGATGCGAGCGGCTCCAGGAGCCACGATGCAGCAGACATCAGCCAGAGCCTGGTTGGAGCATCGCTCGCGGCTCGGGTATTACCCGACCACCATTCGCTATGCTTGGGCGCTGACGGGCATTTGAGACGCGCTCCGCAGTGGGGCCGTCAAAGAAGCCAGAGCCCGCTGCGCGCTGGCTGTGGCGGCGTGCGATCAGTCTTCCATCGATCAAGGCAGCTGGCTTCTCAGCCAAGAGGTCCTGTTGGAGCAGCCTGCTCCTCTTCAGTCTTTTCAGGGCCGCAGGAGCCCGGAACCTTGGGAGCAGAGCGGGTCGAAGCTTCTGGACGAACGCTGATTGGAAGTCTTCATGTGGAGGCTGAAGAGCAAGGACAGCTATCTGGAATCCAGAAAGCGCCTGAATCAGACTGGAGGAAAAGGCAAGACCGATGCGGGAGGAGGAGCCCCGCCCAAGACAGAACGCGACAAGGACAAAGACAAGCAGAAGAAAGGCAATCAGAAGGGCAAAGAGGGCAAGAAGGAGAAGGGTCCGCCGGAGGCGGACTCAAGCCATCCGTGAAGGACGCCACTATGACGGCCGATGCTGGCGGCCGAAAAGTGCCCGGAGCAGGCGCTACCAGCGTTTTGGGCTATGAACTATGGAATGGCCTTTTTACCGCGCTTTCTCGAGGGAGATCGCGCCTAAAACTTGCTTGGTTCCACGCCAGGGCATCCCGTGCTCAGACTCGAGCACCACCTGGGGCACTGTGGCCTTTGCCGGTCCCCTTTCCTGAGCTCCATAGAAAAGGAGCAAACCGTGGCCAGAAGGATGCCAGTAGAAAGCTTGGCTTGAACTACTGTGTCATCGTGCTCAACTACTTGCATGGCTCCGAACGTCACTGGAAGTCAGTGATTCCTCCGCTTGGCACACCGCTGAATGGTTCCCAGTGGGATTTAGTGCAGAGGCTGAGGAGACAGGTAGATGTTTGGAATGCAGAAGCAGTTGTGACTAGCGCGGAAATGGGCAGATCCGCGACAAAAGTTGAAAGCCTTGAGGATGTGCTGAACCAGCTGCAGGCAGAAGCTGAGCTCGTGCACTCTGGGCTCAAGAGCTATGGCAGTAAAGCAGAGGAGAGACTGAGGACTGATTGGGGCATGAAGGGGGCACCGGGAAGCGTTGTTGGTAAACTAGATGTTGCACCAGCTCATCCTGCAAAAGCTCTTGAACCTGATCGGCTGCAGTTTTGGGGGGAACCTTCTTTTGATCCGCGACCCTTTATGGATCCGGCCAACGTCTCAATGTTTGAGTTCCCCTTGCAGCATGCCATCGACCCTGCTGAGCTGCCAGAGCGTCCTCCAAGAGTCAGGGTAAGGTGCCCGCCAACTCAGAGGTTAGCCTTCTTACGGAAGTTAGACAGCTGCAAGCGTTTAGCCCTCAGGCCTACCCGGACTATCCGGGAAGGGTTTCAGAATGGTGTTTTTGCCATTCCCAAAGATGAGCAGCGGGATCGTATGGTTTTAGATGCACGGCCCCCAAATGCACTGGAGCAGTCAGAGCAGCGTTGGATCAAATCTCTTGCTGGTCTTCACCAATTGCAGCATTTCTTTTTGCAGGAGGACGAGTGTTTGTACTTGTTTGCTGAAGACTTGCGTGAGTTTTACCATGCCTTTGTGATTTCCGAAGAGAGGATCCTGCGAAATGCCTTAAAGATGAGCTTCAGACCATGGGAGCTGAAAGCATTAGAGTGTTTTTCACACAGATTGCTGCGAGAGAAGAGTGTCACTCCTTGTCTCAAGACCATGGCGATGGGCGACACCAATGCCGTTGCATTTGGCCAAGCCTCGCATCTGGGGGTTCTCCTTCAAAGTGGTGCTTTAGAGTTGGACCATTTCATTACGTTGCTGGGTAGACCACCAAGACAAAGGTGGCTGGCTGGGCTCATGATCGATGATTTAGTCCTTCTAGAAGCCAGGCCTGACCAGGCGACTGAGGAGACAGAAGCTGGGGCGGCGCAGGCTGAGCTAGACTGCAGCCAGCGAATCTGCCAAGTGCGCGAGCAGTATGAGAAAGTGAGACTTCCGAGACACTCTGGCAAGGCTGTTTTCAATGAGACGAAAGGCAGTTTTTGGGGAGTACAGATGGATGGTGTTGCTGGTGATTTGCGCCCAAATTTGAAGCGCAGTATTCCCTTGAGTCACATCATTCTGCGAGTCTTGAATCTAGGCTGCTGCACTGTCGCTCTTCTAGAAGTGATAGCTGGTTCCTTGGTTTCAATTTTCTCTTTGCGGAGGCGTTTCATGAGCGTGTTGCAGGAGATTTATGAGGCACAGAAGAATCGGCAGAGAAACGAAATTGTTCGTTTGTCACCAGAACTGCAAGATGAGCTGTGTTGCTCGCTGGCCCTCGTTTCTCTCACTCACCTAGATATGCGGCTTCGCCCCTCTGACTATTTAGTTGCTTCAGATGCATCTTCTCCGGCAGAAGGAGCTGTGGCCACAAAGATAGGGCAGAAAGCCACAGAGGAACTGCAACGTCATGCACTCCAAAAAGGGCTGTGGAATAGGCTGGTTAGTCCTGCTCAGGCCTACTTGAGAGAAAAAGGGATCGAGGACCTAGAAGCTTGCGAGTTGCCGGAAGGAGAGTATGACATGCATCCCCTTTGGCAGGAAATTGTTGAGACTCAGGAGTTTGCGCTTTTTGGTGCAGTGAAAAAGGTGCGCAAACGAAGACACATCAACCTGGGAGAGATTTCAGCGGCATTGCAAGCTGAGGTAGAACAGGGCAAGAAACAGCCAGACAGTTTTTATTTACATTTGCAAGACTCTCAAGTCTCTCTTGCTGCTCTCACAAAGGGCAGGTCTTCCTCTCGATCTGTCAATGCCTTGATCAGGCAATCCATTCCAGATGCAATAGCTTACAACAATAGAGCTTTTTATGGATATGTCAGATCTCGTTTGAATCCTGCTGATGACCCCACCAGAGACGTTGTCATCCGCGCACCCGTCAGGACTGAAGCCGAGTGGCTGACTGACCTGAAAGCGGGCGAGTACGAAAAGCTTGAGGCTGCATTAGCAGAATGGGATCTGACCATCTCCGCTCTTCGCCAGCTGCCTGATGAATCCGAACTGCTTGCGCCTGCGCCGGTCGACAAGAGGACGGGCCTAGAGGCCCGAAAGCAGAGGAGAAAAGACCGGCGCAAGCATGCAGCTGAGGTAAAGGCGAAGGCAGCCGAAGCAGTTCAGCATGAGGTGGAAGAGCGGCAGGCCTGCAGTTTGAGTGAGGAGGCTCTTGCGCTTCTTCGTAGTTTTCCTGAAGATCAGTTTATTTGGCACCAGAAGTTTGCGTCGCTTGAGGACGCTCTGCAAAGTGGCGCAGGAGTGCTAGATTTGTTTTCAGGGTCTAGAGGTTTTGCTCGCGCTTGCGCGAAGATGGCAGAGACTTGGGTCCTCACCTTTGACATTGCCCACAACGTCAATGAGGACTTGCTGCAGGGTCCCCTCCAAAGTAAGATCACTAAGTTACTCAGACTTAAAGCCTTCCGAGCCATGGGAGCGGCGCCCGTTTGCTGCTCATTTAGCACTGCTATCACGCCTCCGTGTCGCTCGAAGCAGCACCCGGATGGTGTGCCTTGGTGTTCAGAGAAGCAGAAAGTGAAGAACGAGCTGGGAAACGAGATGCTGCGCTTTGTGCTTAGCCTGATTCCGATCTGCTTGGCGTTTGGTGTAATTTTCTTTGTAGAAAACCCAGATGGTTCATGGATGTGGCGCCAGAGAGGAAGTTTAGCTTGGGATCCTGTTTTGGGTACGGGAAAAATAGGCGATCTTCGCCTTGACTACTGCCGCTTCGGGACCCGCTGGAGGAAGCGGACTCGGTTCCGTACGAACTCACACCTGAAAGGGCAAAGAGTGTTTTGCCGGTGCAATAAGCCGCACATACAGTTGCGGGGAAAGTGCAAGCATACTGGTGTCAACTTCACTAAGTTGGCTGAGCCGTATCCAAGACAAGTGTGTTTTGCTCTGGCTTCTGGTTTGCTGCGCGATGCAGGTTTCCTTGGCAAATGCGGGAAAGTTGATGTAGCTGCATGTGCAAAGGTCACACATGCTCGGATTGGCGAAGCTTCCAATCCGGGACCTCGCCGTGGCGTTCCAGATCGAGCCCCGGAAGATTTGGCGCGGGCGGAGCTGCTTGAACCCGCCACTATTGCGGTTCGGCACCGCATGCTGACTCAGTTTTTCGACTGGTTTGACTCCAATTGTGGCGGAGCCTGCTTCGTGGAATGGTCAGCTCGAGTGCCCGGGCTTGCAGTCTCAGCCCTGGTCGCTTTTGGCCATCACTGTTTTGCAGCTAGCGTGCCCTTGCACTACTATAGGCAGCTTTTAGCGCATTTTCAGAAGATTCACTTGCAACTGCGACCATTTATGGCCATTGCCTGGCAGCTCGTGACCAAATGGGAGCTGCTTGAACCGGTACAACATAGACCGCCACTGCCTGAGCCTTTGTTACAAGCTATGACTACTTTGGGCATTGCTTGGAAGTGGGACCGCTGGGCAGCTGCGCTCTTGGGGTGTTTTTATGCAATCTGCAGAATAGGAGAGTTTCTATCTGCTCGAAGGAAAGACATTTTGACGCCGCATGATCTCCTTTGTGAAGACGATGTCATTTATGTTCGCATTTTACTTCCCAAGACCAGGCGCCGTGGAGCTTCCACGCAGTATGCCACTATTAGCGAGCCTTCTGTAGTTCGTTTTCTGGTTTCAGTTTGGCAGGAACTGCAGCCCAATGATTTGCTCTATGGTGGTTCGCCTTCTGCTTTTAGGCGCCGTTGGGATGCGACTTTGACAAAGATAGGAGTGGGCCCTCAGCATCGACTCACCCCGGGTTCCCTTAGAGGAGGGGGAGCGGTGTCTTGCCACCGACGAGGCATGCCCATAGCAGATTTACTTTGGAGGATGAGACTGCAAAACGTCAAAACGCTTTCTTTTCATTTGCAAGAAACGACAGCCATGTCAATTCTTCCAGCTTTGCAACCTTCTGTCAGACAACGTGTGCAGTTACTTAGGGACTTGTTGCCGTTGTTTTTAGCCCAACGAGGCCCCGCAGCGCACAGCCGTGCACCTAAGTTTTCAACTTAATGCTTTGCTGTAGGCCCGGGTAAAACGTGGATCTGCTGTTGTGACAGCTGATCATGTTTTTGGCTGGCCAGCCGAACTTCCGCGTAGAACACGGCTACTTTATGCACCAAAGCCCTGTGGAACCAAGTGAAAAGGGCCGAGTGAGTGCAGAACCAGATTAACATGACTGGGCATGTTCATGGGTGATGCACGCAAGTTGCTGCCCCGTGCCCTCCTCCCATCTGCTGTTGTGACAGCTGATCATGTTTTTGGCTGGCCAGCCGAACTTCCGCGTAGAACGCGGCTACTTTATGCACCAAAGCCCTGTGGAACCAAGTGAAAAGGGCCGAGTGAGTGCAGAACCAGATTAACATGTTTTTTTTTTTGGTGTGTGTGTTTTCAATGCCTGATACCAATGCCATCTTGTAAACATGTAGCCATGAATATTCCATGTGTTTACATTAGCGTTTATCAGATACTTGACTTTCTCGAGGGGTCTACGGACATGATGCTGGAGCCTCCTGCATTGTAGCCAGTTAACGGTTTTTGCTTGTGTTCTGCTTGCTTTCTGCTTGCTTTCTTATCTTTGCTTGTTGGCTTGCTTGCCTCCTGGCAGCCTGATTCCCTTCTATCTTTATTGTTTGCTTGCTTTTTGCTGCCGGTGCTGAAGCTGGCTGTAGGACGCACACTCGCCCTCGCCATGTTTCTGAGCCATCTACATAGGGAAACGAGTTCTTGCGACCTGACTGTGGCGGGCTGGTGGGGTTTCTCCGCAAACTAAATGCATTGGTTCAAAACAGATGCAGTGAATGTGACTAAAGTTCCCCACTATGGATGTTTGACGTTGCCAGCAATTTGGATTCAATCGATTCTGCCGATTTTCTCTGAACTCCTCGACCAGGCACCTCCCAAGGTTCCCAGCGCTTTTTGTGACTTGTTTCTGGGCTTCCAGGGATGTCAAGGGTGAGCAATGCTGCGAGCCCACATAACCAGAACAAAACGGGTTGTACCTTCTGGTAAAATAACATAACTATGGAAAATCACAATTTAACAGGTACATCAATTATATTCAATTATCACTGGGCCATTTTCAATAGCTATGTTAAATTACTAGAGGGTATCCCGTTTATAAAATTGTATCAAGTGTTTTTCGTGATCACGGTTGTTAGCCGATTGATAGCTAGAAAACACGCCCAAGTATACTCTTGTTCAACACTGTGCCAGCTGGTGAATTAATGTCTGATAGGCAAATGGGAGAACACATGAAAATAATACATGAACATCTATAGTCGCCCCAAAAAAGATAGATTGGGTAGGAATGTATATTTCCGTTGTTTTGGGTGTCACTATGTGTAAACGTAAGTGCTTACATTGGTTTAAAGGCTTCAGCGCTTGAGGGTGTGCAGGAGCTCTGTCCAGATGTGCCTCTCCACGAATGTGTGGTCTCAAAAAGTTGTTGACCTTCAAATCACTCACCATTTCCCATAGGATCCATGTATGGTATATATGCTAACATTGGGGATATATTGATGGTAAATGTTACCATATATAGCATACGTGGATCCTATGGGTTTTGCAAATGCTTCGTTCATTCACCGAAAGTTTCCAAGTTATCGTTGTTTCACTGAGGGAGAAATGATCTGTTCATCGCGATTCCATTCGGGCCCTCTTGGCTTAATGGGGAATAGATGTTATTAGCTGGGTTTATACACTTATAAATTCGGGGCACCAGCTTGAGCCAGCTTGTACCTAGAATGATGATTTCCAATGACTCACGATATTTTGGGGATGGGTTGAAACATGTTGAAACTTCATCATGTTTTGTTGATCTCTGGGGCAACCATCCAAGTGTAACCAGGTTGGCAACCAAGACCTTTTCGCGGCCAAGAGATATGGAAATGCTCCAGGCTGACTGCGCATGTGGAAGGATTCATCAAGCGGATACGCGTATCACTACCTTGATATGTATCCAAATTATACTATATTCCTATAGACTGTACATATATATATATGTATATTTGTATACGTATAATATGTAGCCTTCAGCCTGACGCTGAACCTCCGGGACGGCGATGGAGGGAGAGACAGAGACAGAGGGAGATGTAATGAATGATGCGCCTGATGCGCACACGTTGTTTTTGTTGCATATACATGGGCATATATCTAGACAATAAGAGACCCCAATAGTATAGGAAGCTTATGGGAAGTTGGGGGTGCCATCATTGGGGGTGCCATCAATAATTCGATGGTTTGAGTTACCAAGTCGCACCATGACCAGGGAGACGGAACCGGTTCTGTGCGGTTCTAGAAATGCACATCCAAGTAGCTGAGTTTGTCCGAAAGGATAGACGGTTCAACTTGCTTGGGATGATACAGCAAACCAGATGACAATCACTGTTGTTGTATTTTAATTGGTTTGAAGCCATGAATATGTGATTTCCCAATCCGAATCCCAAACTCAACCTGCAGCAGACCAGGATAGTATAGATCCATGCACCATCCACAAGAAATGCTGAGCCCTTAACTACAGTTTGGCCATGAATTGTTATTCCTGTACTTGCATATGTTTTACGGCGGGTCCTGCATAGCACAGGAGGCATACAGCGTGGTGTTTGAGGAGACCATGCACACCATGCGAAACTTGGTGGGGATCCCAGCGGTTTTTTGAACAACGCCATCTGAGATGGGATCTCTCCCATGGAACGGGGGAAGTCATTTATGCGCACACAAACAGATGAATTTATGTCTACCCTCTGGTTATTTAACATAGCCATGGAAAATGACCCATTTATAGATGGTTTACCTATTACAAATGGTGATTTTCCATGGCTATGTTAAATAACCGGATGGTATATATATATATATTATATGCACATTAATGTGCAAATATACATGTATATACGCAGACACACACACAGAAACACAGAAACACAGCACCACCTGGTTCATTCAACGTTCTGGCCCCATGCGATGATTCACACCTCACCTTAGTGCTGCAGAGTTATCTCCAGGTCTATTGCGACCTGGGTTGGGGCGACCGTGCCGCTGCCGATTTGTCCTTGGCTGTGAAGGCGGGCACAAATGAATGCTTCGTTTGAGGCTTGGATTTGTTTGATGTTTCGGTTTCATTGGGTTCAGGATTTGGTTTAGCTGTGCAGTATCTGTTGCTTTTTTCTGTTGTTTTTCTTGACATTTTTTCTTTTTGATATTGTTTCTTCTTCACGGAAGACCCCCCGAAACTAAACATAACTATGCATCGGTGGGGTGTTGCAGGCCTGCTTCTTGCTGGTCAACATTGAAGCTCGGCTGGCACCAGCGCGGCAGCGCATCATGCAGTGATTTAACGGGCCCGCATGGGGGTAGATGCAAATTGTCTTAGTATATATGGATATGGGTCATAATTGGGTACCACAAGAATTAATTAGATGGTGAATACTTATGAATACTGAACTGAACATATACTAAAAACAGAACTGTGGTCCCATTGGGCTTAAATTTTGAACGCACCCAATATGCGGATCGTGCAAGCGATGTAAGATTTTGAGCACCCGGGATCCGAGTGACAACTGCGCCCAATGTGGATCCATAATTTTGAACAAACCCCATATGTTATGGCGGGCCCCGGGCAGATGTATTTTGAGTGAAAGAAATTATCTGAAAAATGAATTGGGTCGAATACGCATCTTAAAATAAGTGTTTTTTTCGGTCTTAACGGCTATCAATATGGATCAGTTGGCGTACCTATTTGTTTCTTATAATATATATACTGGTTGATTCAAGCAGACTGCAGATGATATGATGTCAACCCGGGATCAATCAACCCCAGTGTTTCAAGAGCCGGGGGATTCCCCCAAATAGTGACAATTTGCAACTCTAAAGTGGTACCCCCGAATGAATCAGCCCAGGAATTTCATAATCAGGGGTTGACATGACCCTGTTGTCAAATCTGGTTGGTGTTGTCAAAACCTTGCTACCCATTTGGCTACCCGTTTGTAAAACGATGTTTAGTGGGGCATCATCCCTACATGGCCTATTTCTGATATGAAAATTGTCTTACTTTTCCCAGTTACATGGAATATCTGGGATACCAACTGTTTTGGGGATATGATTGGGGTTGGTAAATGTCCCGTTTGGGGGGGCTTTGAACATCACTTTCAAGTATTTGGTGGAGGTTATATCAATTATATCCCCTGTTTGTTGAATGATGTGAGCACTTAGGACATGTACTTAGCCACCCCTGTTCTCGGGATGGTACAGTGATGGGGATACTGATGGGGCCACTCGCCCTCAGGAATTGGAAGGCTGGCGAAGATGGGCCTTTGGAAATCGGAGCCCAGTAGATTAGAGATGCAGTTTATTGTCTCTGTTGGTTGCAGTCATGCCCCCATATCCCCAATTTTAGGCTTGGGTGACATTGTCAGCTTAGGTAGTGCAGTGGAGGTCAATCAATCCAAGTAGTTGAGGTGTAGAGGTGTAGAGCCAATAGCAAATTCTCAGTAACCTTGGCTGCCATAAACAACTACCATGGCTGCCATGGCTGGGGTTTTAATCGCAGCCATAAAACTGGTGATTTTGTTGGTGTCCCAAGAGGTGAGTGAACAGGTGCACTCAGCCGCGGAGGTAACAACGTGGCAGACGAAGGTTGCGGTGTCTTGTTCGATCTTTGGCGAAACAGCTGGCGAGGGGCTGCCTACACTCTGAAAATGCCACGATATGAACATTTCACCGAGAATCCCCATACAGAATGTGGTTTAAAAAAATAAAATCCCTTGCAAGTAGTATAAGTCTCCATTGGTTGGACTGTCCCATATAGTAACCGTGTATGCATACGATACATAGCCATGGGTTATCGGCCAAATTGATCTATTTGATCCCAAGACCACCAAAATGGATTATCCCTAGAGTTTTCAGGAGGGAACTACCCAAGTGGCATACCACAGTTGTAAACCTCAGGAACATCCAAGCCTGGTCAGGAACGGCATTGCACCCCTTGTGCCTCTATCGTTTTTTTATGTTTTTTTGTTACTGGGCCATTGGGTCGATGGCTAGTTTTTCAGGAAGGGATTCCATCCGGCAACTTGGCTTTGGGTAGATCAAGCAAAAGGACGGACCAGATGTCATCCCACGATGCAATTTGGTTATAAGTCAATTGGGGGTTCTGGGACAACCCCAAAAAATCAAAGAATGGGGTTACCGGTATAACGATTAAGCTCAACAATTATTGCAGGCGTGTACTCATCCATACATACATAGTTTCCGGGAATTATGAGATTCTCTTGGCCCAACTATTGAGTATAGTGTGGCAAGCCCGGTCATGCTTCCCGTGTAGTTGGTTATCGATGGTTATCGTGTATCACCCTGGGAGATCCACTTTGGGCAACTGAACATGGACCACTATATCCCATAAACGTAGACTGGTAGCTGAAAAAACTCCAGCTGAATTTGCTGGTAACATGAGTCATTATTTCATGATCCCATGGGACTGTCCCGTGTCCTGTTTAACATGTTGGTTGATTCTCCATGATAGTTATGTAAGTTACACACCGGTGTCCTTGAACATGGTTTGAGAATACAGAATACACCATTTATCTGCACTGCACGCGATCCCCATTCAACATATAATATTCATATATTTTTGTATATAACATATAGAATTTAAATAAACAGATAAATATATGTATATATACACATCATATATTCCCCATACATGACCTTCATTCAGTTCAGGAATTTCCCAGCCTTTTGGAAGGCCACAAGCCGTCCCAGGAAGCCTTCACGGACTGCGCGTCATTGGCTCAGATCACCCTGCGCTCCAACCGTCTGGGTGATCAGGGCGTTGCTTGGCGGGGTGAGGACGCGGCGGTCCGAGAGTGTCTTAGTTGATCTAAATTATTTGACAATAATCATACTATATCATACTTAATTAATGCTATAGCTACTAAATGCTACTAAGGTATGATGATTATATCTTAGTTGATCTTACTTGTTTGTTTTGGGTCTTGTCAATGATCATCATAATTGGAAGCTGTTTGATTATTATTTCTACTGACGGACATCCACTTGGAACATACGGAAAAATATGTTCAAGCCTTCACAGCGGGGATTTTCTAAGCGTGCACTTGGAACATGAAGTGAAACACAACTTAGAACATCCTAGGGGAGACCATATATTTATATAATTAATTATATGTATGTATATATATATATATGTGTGTGTGTGTGTTCTAAGTATATCTTCGTCAACCAAAATACTCTAAACTCTAGACTGAGAGGACAGCAGGTTTGCACTTGCAAGATCTCAACGTTGCAAGGTGACATTTGATGCCACAACCAATTTACTTTCGGGATTACTGTACCTAGAATCATATATCACCAGTCATCATTCAACTAGTTCAACAGCACAATTCAAAACTATGAAAGACCTTCCCATATGACGAAAACTATATGGTATATCTAAAGATTGCGTTCCAGGAAGAAAAGGCACTTTGCTTTCAGAAGCAGTGAGCGGAGAGAGTTTTAGAGTGTTCTGAGTGTGGTGTTCAAACAGGTATTTAACGGGATTTATGTGCATATAAGCAAACATATGTATGACTATACATGCGGATTTGCCAAAAAAAACAATGGCTGTTTAAGTGTTGAAAGTCCGGATGTTCAAAAGTGCAATTAGAAGATTGGCAGATGTTCTAAGTGTATTGTTGGTTTATGGTCTGAGACTGTTTGACAATTTTGGAAAATGTGATGTTCTAAGTGTACGTCCGTCACAATATAGTTATGTATGTATATATATATGTACATATACACGTAATGAACAGTCATATATACAGACATGCATGCACTACAAACATGATTATGACCAAAGAACACATTTCTAACATCAACATGTGTTTTGACAATAAATGAGGATGACGATGATGACGATGATGATGATGATGATGAAAATTTATGGCAGCATGCCATCATTGCTTTAAATGCTTAAGGTTTGGTATGTAATTGTACTTATGATCCTATGTATGTATGAACAGTGGCAAATGTTGATGACCGATGGGGCTGAGGCATGATTTAATATACCCATAATCCTATATAATATATGGACCGCCTGGATAATTAAATGCTCAATGATGTGGGCAGGACCAACGTTTCTAGAATTTTCATTGTAGGTGCAGATGAAGGGGAGACATCATTTGACACGAGCTGCATGCTCTGGGGATTGTAAAGCAGACTCATCCTATCTAAAGCCTTTTGAAGACAGCTCTTTGGGGTTATATGATGTTGTATGTATGTCAGTGTTTTTCCCCCTCCAGGGACAGCATTGGACAAGGATCGTCACAATCACCGGCCAGTTTGTTCCACTGACACTATCAACGTCACCATATCGTTCTGGTATTCTAATATTATTATTTATGGCAATGGAATTTTATTGCCCAGATGATCTTAATATATCTTCACATATAAAAAAAATAAGGATTCTGCATCCAGCAATGTTTTATTACTGGAGGCAACAAACCACTTTAGCATAACCAGGCCCGCTACGTCACTCGCTACTTGCCGTAGTGTTTGCGGCTGGAGGACGGTTTCCGTTGAATTCTTCATAGCCATACATAGCCCATTTTTAGGGTCATTTAGGGTCATTTCAAAATCTGTCAAATGTGAAAGATCAAAAGATGTCAGAGATATCTTCTGAAGATACCCTCGCACGATATCATCAAAAGATGTCAGAGATAACCAGAGATATCCAAAAGATTCCATCCTTCCTTTGATCTTTCCGTATCCAGCCACTCCCAGGAGTTGGACTTGAGCTTCAACAAAATTGGCAATGCTCCTTGGAGAGGGAAAAGTGCTGTCCTGGTTACAGTACCATGCTGTCACTTGGAGGTTTCCTGAAATCGGGGTACCCCCAGTTATCATCCATTTTTGGTTGGTTTTTTCCATTATAAACCATCCATTGTTGAGTACCTTCATTTTAGGAAACCCCAAAGATATAATTTTACTTATGTATTATACAAATGTCTATCTATAGAAGGATCATTTAGACAGACAGTACATTTATATGTAAAAATCAGGAGCCGGGGGCTAATTTACAATATCGGGTGTTTTTTGTTAATATGTCAGAATGTTTAGGTGGCGATCACATGAAGTGCTGGAGATGCCGGGGTAAGACGTGGGCCTCGTTTCTGACAACCAAACAATATCACGCTTCTACAGAATAGCAGATAAATCACATAAATCTACATGTAATGACACATTTTTACATACACACGTACAATGAATCAACATATTATAAATTATATATATATATATACATATATATATATATTTATGCACAGAATAATTCTCCGATACTGCCCCCTGGGCCTTCGAAACGCCGGTCCTCAGGCTGGAGCTCAAGATTTCATCGAAATGTTTGGTGGAAAAAAACATCCATCGTTGAAGGACGGCTGAAGTCTGAAGGTAGTGAGGGCTGGAAATTGTTGGGTTGAGAACTGTTCTAAGTTACCTGGAATGATTCCACTTGGCCAATATATGGGCTCCAAAAAGTAAGAATCGTTACCATAAGTTGGCTCAGTAACTTTGGATATGGGCTCCCACTTGGCCAAGAAAAAGGTGGATGAATGGCTGAGCCAAAAGCAGTTTTTGATTGTCGATGGAATAGTCAACTTCAAAAGAACCTGATATTGAGAGGCGCAAGATGATGGTTGAACAATTTGCTATGTTGCAAGTCTAGTTTTTAGTTTCTAGTTTCGCTTCAAACTGCCACAGACTTTTCAAATTAAACATGCCAACGGCTCTGCGCTCAGGAGCTGCGGCTCAACAACAACATTGCGCGCTGGCGTCAACGTATACGACGTCGACGACGTAGACGTCTACTTGGAGGATCAATCCCACGATCTGATTTACAAGTGCCCCAAGTAACTGGGGATATAACGTGTCCCATTTATAACTGGTTGGTGGTTTGGAACAGGAATTTTATGACTTTCCATATATGGGGAATAATACTCCCATTTGACTTTCATATTTTTCAGAGGGGTTGAAACCACCAACCAGTATCCCATTTATTAAAAGTAAATGGGATCTAGTGGGATAATCCACGAATTTGGGACCAACTAACCAAAAATTATGCGTACTAAGTGGGATGATCCTCCAAGTAGCCTCTAGGTTCTAGGTCCCTCTAGTGATTTCACTTAGTCTATGTTGGTTGTGGCTGAGGATTGCTGACATAAACTTCAAGAGCATCCTTTCATTTGCTTGAAAAGTATGGTGCCACCATTATCACTCTATTTTGATCATTTTAAATTTACGTATCCAGCACTTCAACTTCTATACCGAAGCTCCGATCCAGCTGAGCACCTAGGTGGGTTCTTCCTTCAAGGTGCAGCTGGCGGGCGTTGTTCAGGAAGTCCAGGGGAACAACTTCAGCCTCTTCGTGTGATGCGGTCCAGCGGCATCCTACCATGCCAAGCATGGCGGACGTCCAAAATTCCCCGGAACCAAAGCTGTTCGAATGCTGTTCGGTCCCAAAAGGGACGGGTACCAAACCCCATGAAGATGCATGTTTGCTTGGCATGCTCAATAGAAAAGTTAAGCGTGCAAAGAGCAGCCACCCCCGCAACCCAGACCAAGATCATGTGAGTACAAGCTGTGGGTGATTAGCGGCTCAATGCCTTAGAATTCATGACCTCTCATGACCTCTCAGACCTCTCAGACCCATCTCAGATTTGAGAATGAACCCCAGGCAGCTACACACCGACCACATATGCTAGAGTTGATGCCGTGAATCGCCGGGAAGACCTGGCCCCATGTTGACGTGGCCAGGGGCGGCTGCCCCTGAGACGCGGCTGCGAGATGAGGGTTCTCCACAATCAATTGGGTTGAAGATGTCTAAAAAGCCATGCCCCTCAAGCCAACTGGGATGGTAGCTTTCAATGGATTTCCAGCCATCATGCTTAGTCACTCCAGTTCCACTTGCTGCTTTTTATGCCGATTCAAGGAGATTACATGCAGACCGGAAAGGTTTTCAGCATCAAGTTTGTCACTTCCATCCCCAAGTCAGGACGGTTTACAGCAGTCATGTTTGGTCGCTGGGCAGTGACGTGACGAATTGCATTCGGAGCCCTGAGAAACATTACGCTCTCGGTTCTTCACAGCTCCTATTTGGATAACCCAAGAATCACACTGGAATAGGTTGGCTCTGGTTAATGGGGTTTTAAACAAACGCAGTCCATATATGTCTATATATGTTTATATATTCCGTGTCAGAAGCCAAGAATAGGATGCATACATTTGGCAGAAACAGGAATCTTGATCAGCAGAAGAGCGTATTCCAGCTGATGAGCGCAAGTGCAGAGAACTATATCAGGTTTTTTGCCTCACCGCTGCTAGGGGAATTGTAATCACTCTGCTTACGCTCAGCCATTGCAATCCTCACTTCAGCAGTGGTCTTTGTCGAAGGAAAAGGACACCTTGGGGGTGTATGCGCTGATTTTTGACCAAAAGACAATGGGTATGTTTGAAAATCAGACAATATACCACCCAAATAGGCTAAATAGCAATTTTGATGGGGAAGATGATGATCAACCTTTCAATTGGGGAATGCCCTATTTTCAGACAAAGCCAGATCAACTTTTGATCTCAGATTCCTGAGGCGGAACAAGTCGTGGCTTGAAAGCCAATGCAGAAGTCCAAAAAAATGCCACTTGCACAATAACTGGTTGGTGGTTTGGAACATTTTTTATGTTTCTATATATTGGGAATGTCATCATCCCAACTGCCTTTCATATTTTTCAGAGGGGTAGGTCAATCACCAACCAGATCATTCTAGCAAAGAAAACATCCATGTAGATCCATTTGGGGGAGGTTTCCTTGTTCAATTCTGGATGCAAGTTCTTTGTTGCAGATTGCGATATTGATATGGAGGAACCTCCTCAAATGGTGGTACCCCAAATCATCCAAAAATTAGACCACGTTGTTCAGTGTGGTGGTATTCTCCGCTTGAGACTAGGGTTTTCTCCAAAAAATTGAACCACTTTGCCAGCTTGGCTTGCAATCCTCAAATTAGACCATTATCGTAGTATTTTAAATCCATAGTTTTCGTGATCTACCATTTTAAGAACCCCCCATATTGATACGATACCTCTGACCCCATGCTGGCGAAGCGTTGAGCATGCTTGGCAGCCACATTGGCTTAGACAGTGACCGCTTCGCCTGGCATTTTTTTTTCGCTCGGGATCTCAGTTAGAAGCGTCCCGGACATGTGTTTAATAGGAAAGGTGTCATAGATCATCCTGGTTGGTGGTGTGGAACATGTTTTATTTTTCCATATGTTGGGAATGTCATCATCCCAACTGCCTTTCATATTTTTCAGAGGGGTAGGTCAATCACGAACCAGAGGATCTATAAAAATGGATTGGTTGAAGGGAAAACCTACAGGAAAAGCCCATATTTGGTTGGAAAAACCATGGTTTCCGGTTAAGATTGTCCCTTAAACCAAAAGTCATTGACTATAAAAATGGACCATGTTCATCCATGTTCCATAGCTGTCATAGCTATGTTAAACAACCAGATAGTACATAGTGCGAGAGAGATAGAGATAGTGCAGGTATGGACATGCCACTGCCACTGCCACCGCTCCTGCTTTTGTTGTCGTTGTGGGTGAACCGACCATCCCAGCCATGGGTGGTTTGATCCCTACTCACTCCAGCGACAGTGATTCAAGAGTTCCAACTTGTTGGTTACCTTGGCGTTGGTGTTGGTTAAATATACTTCTCCATTGTTGCTGGTGCATTTCCAATCACCTTGCCTATTTCATACCCAATAATTTTTGGTGAAGTTAACGGCAAGCAAAACAGCAATGTTGACTGGTTTTGTTGCTAAAGCAGCCACCAGCAATTTTCAGTTGCATAAATCCAAACAAAACCCATTGTCTTTCATTATGCTTGATGGGTCCCAAAATATTTTAAAAGAACAAACTCTTGAAAAAACGATGGCTTTGAAATTGGTTGCTAACCAACTGCACTGGGAATGTCATTTCATAATGTTTGATTTAAAAACATCGTTCTCAGAATTGAATGATGGGAGACTTTTATAGTTGGAGTTGAAGGGCACAGGTTCCTCCAAAAACACAATTCAAACATCCATAGCTCGAAGATTGCGGACAGTCGAATGGCACAGCAATTGCAGTGCCGATTGAACTCGGTCTGAGCTATTGACTACTGTACTGGCCGGGCCAAATCACATGTCTTCCGGATTGGCCTATTTTCAGTGAAACCTTGTGTCAGGGCAGAGCAGCTCTGAACATGCGCTCTGCTCATCCTGACATACACTCCACTGCATGGACGGTGAATGCCAAGCGAAACTTTGTTAACATGGGAAAAGAAAACACAAGCAAACTGATCACAGCACTCCTTGAGAAAACTCAAAGCAGCACGAACAACACTGACAATATAAGCTAAAGTGGGTTTCTGGTACCGGGTGCAGAGGGGTGCAGTATCCATGCTCCCAGTCGTGGCATTCCAATTCAAACATCCATAAACCGATCCATTGAATCCGGGCCGGTTTGTTTATTACCATGTTTTCCACCATAGACATGAAATGATCCTATGAATGTTGAGATCACCAGTGATGTCTAGCGATTCCCAAGAAAAACCATCAAAATTCACTAGCAATTTTTGCTGAATCACCCATTTCTGATGGTTAAATCATGTTAAATCACCCATTTTTGATACTTAAATCACCAATTTTGATGGTTAAATCACGATTTCTGTTGGTTTAAACGACCAGTTTTGATGCAAAAAAAACACAAAACGACCACCATTTCTTCAGGCCATGGCCGCCATGGCGGAGGCGGTGTCCCCCAGCCGCGAGCTGCATGCACCCAAGAACCGTGAAGGGTGCGCCAGCCGCACGAGTCGCCGGTATTCAAAACCTCTATTGACTCTATTGGTTGATGATGAGTGCAGAAATTTCATATGTTTTAACATGGTTTAAGCACCAAAATATTGGGGATAGTTCTGAATATTTGGCTATATGATCCCTTCCCCCCAAATGCTAACCCCCCAAATAATAAACACTTCAGGTAGTTTTTATTATTGGGGTGGTATTTATTATTAGGGAACCAAAGCGGACCCTAACAATGAATTTAAACCCCTATTTAAAAAAAAATACTGTATTTTTTATTTTTTTCAAAATCAATTAAATTTCCTATTATAACGCAATTAACATATTGCCAAAAATTGGATTTCGAAGTGGACCCTAATAATAAACTTAGATCCTTAATTAAAAAAACTAGAATTTTCGGACGGACCCTAATAATAAACACCCCGGAGTTATATAACTATAGTTTTCATTATTAGGGGGCGAAACCCACAAATGGTATCTTTATTTTTAAATTGTGTTCTAAAGGGGATCAATTAAAAGTCAAATTGACCAACCTGAAATTTTCTAAAATTAAAGATTGACCCTACTTTTCATTATTTGGGGGGGTTAGTAATAGGGGGACGGGATTAACTGATACATGATGGATGATTTACAGGTCACTTATATGTTTGTTTTTACTATCACACTGAGTGGATAGTTTGAACACTGTGCGGATATAAGTTGATATATATAATTGATAAATTATGTTTGATTACTGATTGGTTTGGGGATTCCTAACCAAATCTAACCAATATATTGGGGAATACCAGGCTCTATGATCGGGGGAATCCCGTTCTTCACCGAGCAGCTTCTGTTTTGGGACGACGTTTTTGTGACATGTTGGGTGACCACCCGATGAAATTCTCGCATAAACAGGAAGATATTGTGATATATGGTGGAAGATCAATAGGCAGAAAACAATGCGGATATGACATGATTTGCCGGACATGTGTGGTGTTCCATGGTGATTTATTGTGAAAGCCACACTATTTGCAATGCATGTGAGGATAGCCGATTGTACTATAAACAGCAAGAGTGATGATGCCCGATAAATTTGGTGGTTGTTTCCAACATGGTTACATGGTTCTACCCCTGCGATGCTGATCTTTGACTAAGAGTTTTTGGGATGGGTTGAACCTACCAGTGACAATCTTGTTGAGTTGGGATGTGTTAAGGGAGAGTTTCTCGTTGTTCATTCAACTCACGGATTTAAGCCAAAAAATGAGGACCTAGTCCCTGGGTGAGCTTTTATCCAAAGTGGGAATTGAATTTGACCCAGGACTCCAGGTGAAAAATGTACGTGTCCCCAGGTGATAACCCATGCATCTCTTCTGATGGTTTGCCTCCATAATTCTGCTTGAGCCATCCCAGCATGATCACTGCAACTGTGATGGAAGTAACGCGCGGCACAATGCACTTCCATGCACTATCGAAGTTTCATGAGACCTTTTTCAGGGCTTTGTGCGTGTTTCACATAATCGGGATACCCTCAAACCACTCCCAGTCTCCCCACTAAGAGCGACGGATAATTGAGATGATGTCAAAGCTTTCCCATTTCAAGAAACTCCCATTATATATATATATCCTTATTTGCACGGCAAATGGGAAAATCACTATGTGACATGTTCTTGTTGGTTTAAACTCATCCATAATTATCCCATA